TTTTTTTTTTTAAAAAAAGCACCTTTAGAGGTGGGAATTTTGAAATAAACTTTCAGCAATGAAGTTTGCCATTCCCTTCATGTTGAGCTGCATCTCATCTCCTCTTGCTGCTGGAGGATTCTCTGGGGTGAGGACAGGGATCAGGGAGGATTATAACAACGGGGCACACTTGGTACCTGAGCGTTTGAAGGGTGACTTTAATCAGTATGTTTGAAGCACTTCATTGTCTCTGGTTTCCTTTGAGGCAGTTGAGGGGGGAAAACAGCCTGTTCAGGGTTCAGCTTGTGTCCTTGAGAGGTGGACCAAGGTCTTCTGCCAATTCTCTAATCTTTCAGAGTGGGTCAGTAACTGCAGGGAAGACGAAAGTTTATACTCTTGACATAAATAAAAATGAAGTAGACAAAAAAACAGAGAAAAGACCCCATGGTCTGAGGGGGAAAAAATACATATACATGAAATGCTTTTCAAACAAAAGGCAGAAATTCCCTTTCCCCCATTCTCTCTTTTTTTTTTTTTTTTTTGCAGGTCACCTGTAAGTAACTAACTGAAGAGCAAATTCCTGTGGCTTTCTGTGTAGCTCAGYTTATTGAATGTGCAGTCTGGTTCCCATCGTGACTTTGTGTAGCTGCAGTGTACAAGTTCAGCACCTTTCCCTCCATCGGGAGCCAGCTTTGTGCTCCCTTGGCAGTCCCATCTGCTCTGCCCTCAGCCTTCCCTCTGCTTTGTTTTTGAGCCAGGCTTCTCAAAGCCAGGAGCAGGATGAAAGTGGATTATGCTGGTGACAAGAATATAAGCAAGCAGTGGAGTGTTGGGCCTTTGGTTTTAGTATTGTCAGTATTGTCATCCTAGTTGGAAAACTGATAAAAAAGCACTTTTTAGGAAGGTAGCATAAATCTGTATCTTAAATCCCTGTAGGTCTGGCTGGCTGTGCTGCACAGTTATTCTCAGCCCCAAAGCTTGGTTGTCTCCTTAGTGAGCTTAGAGGACTAAGCTTAGGCTAAAAACAAGGAGCTCGAGCATGGCAGCTTAAACTGAACAACCAGCTTAAGCTTTTTTCGGGAGAAAGACTTGGGAAACCAAGAGGTTTCCCTGTTCACTTGGTTGGTGTCTTTGCAAGGCTGACTTCTGACTGCAGCTGGTATCACAGCCAGTGGGTGTTTCTTGCTTGTTTGGCAGGAGTGTGGGACCTTTATTTGTTCTTTAGTGTAAAATACACCATGTCATCTTCATGTGCTTGTTCCTGTAAATCTAGTGAGATATTTTAATATACTGTGGGACCTCTGAAACTTAGCTCTGAAAATGACTTATTTTAATAAAAAAGCGAACAACCCTGCCACACATAACTTTAAGAACAGAGAGACTTCTAAATGCAAACACTCAATCTTTCAAAATACTTTACCAGCAACAGTATCATATGTCAAGTTTAGATCAAGAGCTTTTTTTTTTTCCTTTATGAGATGGAAAAGCATTTATCCCTTTTAGAAACTCGTTGGGGAACTCCATCCCATTGCTGTACTGCTTTTCTCAGAATATAGTAATTCTAAGAGAAGCAGAAAAGTAGTGGTTATAACATATAGATTGCTTTGTGGTTTGCACTAGTTACCATTGAAAACAAAGTAGTTTTGTGAGGGGGAGGGTTTGCTTGAGATTTCTTTAAAAAAAAAAAAATCTGAATAAGTTGCCTGTTGTGTTTTTCTGGTTAGTCTTCCCTGAAATTAATTTTTGTCTCTGGGGTAAGATGATAAAGCCACACAGACAATTTTATGTGCAAATAACTATCGGATGTGAATGCAGGCTTTTATTTGCAGGTGAGATGACATTATTAAGAGAATGTAATAGACATTTGTGTTGTATAGATTAAAATSTGTATGAATGTGTTATGAATGGTATGATACATGTGAAAATCCTTGAGAAAATCCTTGAGACTTTCAAGCCAGATAGGTACAGATTCATCTTATATTATTGTAAAGTGAGTAGTTCTTGGACACCATAAAACTAATCTAAAAATTATGCCTCTGTGTGTGAAAGAAGATAGAGCTCATCATGAAGCTATAAAGTCATAGTCTTAGAGTAGTAAGTTGATAATGAAAGAAACATCTCTCATCTTCTTCCTGGTGTTTTTATCCTATACAGATTTGCWAGAGGTGATTTTGAGTGTTTTTTTTTTCCCCTCTCCTCTCTGTTTTAGCTTAGAACTGAATTTGGAAAGTATCTTTTTTTTTTTTTAAAGTATTTTTATTTTGCTTGAACAGTATTTTTATTTTGAATCATTAGTATGCTTACAGATAGCGAGACTACTTTTATTAAAAATAAATATATGTTTTTTTACCAACAGAAAGTATCACTTTTGAAAGCCTGTTGTCTTGTGTTTGCATTTCAAGGACTATGTAACTACATATGAGAATATAAGAAAGCATTCTTTGCTTGTAATTTTGGCCAGAATTTGAGAGGCTGTTTTTCACTTGTTTTATTTTATTACATGGACTTGAAGCAACCACAGAAAATTCCTCCTAATGCACTCTTACTGTGCTGTCATAATATTTACACCCTTACATCCCTTTTGTGCATGAAGCCACCACCATGGTGTCCTTTGCAGTAAATTTAGAGTAAATTTAGGTCAAGTTGTTAAACATGCCCAAYGGTGGAGTCGGGAGTAAAGGTGGGAATGTCATAAATTTCTGATTTCCGCTCATTCCTGTTGTCATTTGCACAGTGCAGGGGCAGCTGCTGCTGCTTCAGGAGGATCAGTTCAAACATTCATCAGGCCCTTCAGAAGGATGAGAAGACCAACATCTGTATCAGCATTTTTGTTCCTCCTGCATGACAGGAAACTTTCATTGAGAGGAATCTKTCATTCCATACTGTTTTGACACTTAACTAGGCCAAAAATTGGTGGTAAAACCTACTAGTCAAAAAGGAGGGAGATCTTTTGTGTCCAACACATTTGAATGTGTCGCCGTTGGTAGGAAGCTTCCCTTTGAGGAGCCTCACGATAACCTTGAGCTCTTTGTTGTAACTTGGCTGATAGTCACACACTGATTTTAATTTGGGCCTTCAGTTTTCCTTCTTTGAGATCAGAAAACAGTGCTGTCAAACCAAACATTAGTTTTTCTTTTATAAACAGTTTTTAGCTTTGTTCCATAGACATGGATGGTCATTTATTGCATGTTTTTCTGATTTCCTCTTAGTCATCTGAAGACAGAGTGATAAACTTACATTGTAGATGCAGGAAAAACTAAAGATTTAAGGATCTTGATAAGCCTGTACATAAAATATCAGTCCATTTGCATCCTCAGTTTTCAGCAAACTTACCRTCTTTTGCTCTCTGCAGTGCTGAGGCTTTTTGTGTTGTGGAAGGAGAGGTAGTTATCTCCATTGATATTTCTTAAAACTACTCAGGTTTAACATGTTCCTGTTTTGTACCTGGTTACCCATTTGTACCAGATGCGATTGCAGCCTGGCTGAAGCCCTAGCATGGGTGGGCAGCCTTGCTGTGAGCCACATGCACGTGCTCAGAGCTAGTTTAGTTGGGTTTGTGAACAAACTGCAGTTTATTACTTGTTGTCCTCATATGGTATCTACAGATAATTGGTTAAACGTTGGTATGTTACCTTTCAGAGCTGCCTGAGCTTATTCTAAAGCTTGTTGCTGTTCGGGAAGATCTGTTTGTTGTCTTTTTCTTCTGCCAGCAAGTCCTGATTTTTTTTCCCCTCAAACCTGAGAGTTTTTTAACTTTCCTGTCAAAACTAAACAAGTTGTGAATATCCTGAGAGCTGGGYGGGGGAGAAGACTAGAGCTCTCAGTCCATTCAGCCTGGGTTGTCCTTGTCGTGTCCCGCATGTACTCCTGCCTTCTGTGGAGTCTTACTGAGGGGGGACCTGAGAAATGTATGTGTCCGCTATATTGCCATCTGTATGTTTATGGTAAAGATGCTAGGGTGGGAGTTTTCTCCTGCCTGTTTTCTTTTTTTTCTTTCCCTCTACTACTGTGCCTGCAGCTTGACATCATCCTTTGAATGCAGAGTAGCACTGGCATCAGTCCTGAGAAACAACTTTGGATTTGGCTGAGAACTGAGTTGTAAAAAAGTGCTGAGGGAGATCTTTGTGCTCCYCTTAATTATCTTTTCTTTCCAGTTTACTAGAGACAGATAGTTGAACCTTAGCACTGGAAAAGAACTTTCTGTAGGAAAAAGCCCTGTCCCAGGAAGGGGATGAACTGATGACCTTATAGAGGGTTTCTAGCTCAAATTTCTGTGGCTTTTTCATGAGGAAAGAACAGAAAAAGGAGCAAGAGCACTTTGGGACTTTATATTCATTCTCTGCTTAAATAGAGGGCAGCCACATGGAATCTTTTTTCCACAGTGTTGATTGTGTTGAASGGGACTCTCCATTACAAGTTAAGTTACACCGATGTAGGGATAGATATGTCAGGTCTGTAAAAAAGGCAAGGAAATCCAAATGCAAGTGAAAGGGACCTGAAATAGCTGTGCAGTTGGAGTTGGGCTGCGCTCTGCACTCCGTGCACACATCAGTCAGGATACGGAGCACGGAGCTGCTGCTTGGAAATCCCAGCCATGGAGTTTGGGGAGGCGTCTGTCCTGCCTGACAGGGGGATCACCTCATCGCCTCAAAGTAATAATTTGATATTGGATATAGCAGACCAAAACGTCTGTCTTTTTGTGAAGAAATTACTATAGAACAGAAATAAAGGCTGTAGTGCAAGATAATATATATATTTCTAATCATAACAGCTATGAGCACTGCAGAACACAAGGAGATTTTTGATCTTCCACTGTGTTTCCACTCCCTACCCTTCTGTCTCAGCCAGGCTTTTGAAAGATGTTGCTCTTCCCTGTAAAACTTCTTGGGTATGTCAGCACTGCTAGTGAGAAAAGSCAGTGCTTTAGCTTGCTGCTTTTGGAAGACACTTATTAACAGTCTGATTTTCCTTGTTTTCCTCCAGGTCGGATTCGTACCAGGAGACAGAGCTCTGGCAGTGCCACAAGCGTCACCTCAACGCCTGCTGACTCCCGAGGACGTAGCCGGGCTAAAGTAGTTTCACAGTCCCAGCGTAAGAAGTGTTTGATTTTGAACAGGGAGGGGGAGGAGAAAAAATGTTGTTAATGTTTCTCTTAATATTGAAATAGTATTTAACTGAGATCTGAGGTCCCCTCTGCTGAGCAGAGTGATGCTGGGATGTGTAATGAAAGGAATCCTCCTCAGCAAGCTTTCAGCATATGCTTCTACTGACAAATAAGCCCCAAATCTGAGTGCTTAGCTGTCACAAGCTGCTTTTTCACCTGTTGCACAGCAGGCTTGCAGATTGCTGTGAAGTGTACGGCTAAACCTCCCCTGGGTCCCGCTGAGACGTCTTCTGTGTCTGTAGCTGACTGCTGTCTCTCGGGTTCTTGCCCTACCAAGCTTCTCTTGCTTATATTGTTGTATTTCTGTATGYGTATAATGTGAGTTGTCTAAGTTAATGTGTGATGTAGCATCCGTTTTAAATAGGACATTACCCCTTCTGTGTAGATTATGGGGGAAGTAACTTTGCAGTTTGGTTCAGAGGGCATGTATGTGCTCTCTGGCTACCTGGCATGATATGATTTTCCCCAGGAGCCATACATACAGTTTTTGTCAAGTATATCTAAGAATTTTGTCACTCAAACTTTAAAAGGAATAGAGCATAGGGAGAAGCTGTTCATTACTGAAGATACTCAGGCTTGTGGATGAGAAGAGATGGGGCTGGTGGAGAGATGTGTTTGTTCAGAGGACTTGTCTTGCTTTGCACCCTTGTTTAGAAGCCCTCATCTGTTCACACTGTCATTGCTTTGCCCTGTCATGCYGGAGGGATAAGGAACCAGATTTATAGCATTATGTTAGGTAAAAGTTTTATATTCAGAATGGAACCAATTAGAAATCTTTATATAGAGGCCATGAAAGATTTTGGCCTTCAGTTCCCTGATCTAAATTCATTCATACAGTTCAGACTGTAAAACTATTCCAAAATGAGAAATGACCTTTTTTCCTGATTTCAGTTTAGTGAAGAACAGATGAGAACTCTTAATGTGTTTAATGAACAGTTGAATATCGAGAAGTTTTAAACAGTACATTTTTTAATGATGTCTTATGGCCTGTTAGGTGACATCTAGTTTGAATCCTGATTCCAGCCTGGCCCACCAGATGTGGTCTTTATCTTCTAGGCCAAGCATTTTATGAAGCAAGCTATGAATCAAATACGGTATAGACACAGGACTAAATTATGTGTCCACACAGTGGCTAATCCTGTTTCAATTTTTCAGAGTGGGCTGGAGTATAATTTACAGCAGAGTTTGGGTGTACATATTTGGTTGATATTTCCCTAAGAAGATGATCAGCCTAAAACTGTTGGTTGCATCTGTGCATTAACCCACTACATTCTGCAGAGGCTTTTGGAGTGACACGTTTGTGAAGAAATCTGTCTGCACTGTGTATAACATAAACTGCATGCTGAACGCTGTATTGTCTTGCTGTCTTTTAATCCACTTTTTGCCTGTCCTTTCGTCTGCCCTCATAATCAAGGATCCAGATCAGCTAATCCTGCTGGTGGTAAGAAACGTTTTCCCTTTCTTGCTTTCTCACATTATTTCCTTCATGTTTTTTTTTAAGCTGCTGAACCTGTAGGTTCCCTCTTTCCTGTCAATTTTACGTTATCAGAGGCTTAAAAAGCATTTTCTTAAAGTTAGAAATCTAAATCTATATAATAACAGGCTTAGTAATCAAACATGGTAAACACACATTGTGTATGGAAGCAGACTCATTCTTGTAAGCATTGCAGTGATGTTCCTGCAGCTTAAACCCTAGGTGCTAAATTCTTCCAGTTATTTCAGTGCAGTGTTGACATCTGTGAGTCAGTGTAACTGAGAGGAGCATTTGGCTCCCAGGGTGTGAATGTTGGGCATGTGACTGGCATCTGTCACAAATATTCTCACCCAGCGCCAGGGTCAGTGTTGGGAGTACGTGGTTTGATTGGAGCAAGGAATTTGAACTAACACTAGTTATGCTGTTGTCTATCAAATTAATAACATTGCATACAGTCTTAAGATAGAAAATATATCTTTGATTCTTACTAATCGTAACGCTGTTCTGGAACTGATTTTTTTTTTTTTTTTTTTGACATTTGTGGATGCTTTTTAGAAAGAGAGCAGCATGAATATTAGCTCAGAATGTAAACTCACCTGAGTATGATTTTGCAGCCTTTTCTTGACTGTTTTAGCAAATAAATGAGTGTGAGGAATGACAGCAGCAGAATTTCAGCGTGACTTTTATATACTTGAAGAAGGAGGAAAAGAAAGACCTCAACTCCATTACTTTTAGGCCTTTGTGATTACCTGTAAATGAGCTTTACTTCATTCCTGACAATGTAAAGTAGCCAGCGAAGTCTCAGTGGCTGCAGCCAGCCTGCTTCTGGTGCCACAGCAAGCTTCTGTAATGCAGGGGTACTTCCACACTGCACTGTCTGCCTTGTCTTTACCCTGGCTGGGCAGCAAAGAGTAGTGCAAATAGAATTGTTAATGCCTTTATTGTCGATGGGCTTTCCTTAGTCATCATCTACAGCCCGTGGGAAATGCTCCAGTGGGTTTTATGTGGGCTTTGGATCAAATTCTAGAACGTAGCCTCTTGTATTTCAGCTTTCCTGTCAGAGTGTTTTAAACCTTGATTCCCCTCCTCTCATATTTTTTTTCTTATTTTTTCCCCTCTAGCTGGCAGTCGGTCTAGTTCTCCGGGTAAACTCTTAGGAAGCRCCTATGGTGGCCTGAGCAGTGGATCATCCAGAGTCCAGGTGGTGTCATCGTCATCAGAAAAACGCAGCAAGATCCCTCGGAGCCAGGGATGCAGTCGGGAGACGAGTCCCAACAGGATAGGACTAGGTAAGAGCAGCCACTGCAGTGACACGTTGATCAGTGTGTTCAAAGTTTTTTTCTGTTTGTTAGGAAATTAAGTATTACTGTCACCTTTGAGTTCTTCAGCTAGCAGGTTTATGTTTTATCTCAAGGAATGTTCTGTTTTTGATGGCAGCTTATAGGAAGGTAGTTCTAAATTTCTAGGTTGAGCCATAGTTTCCGAGTAGGTTGAGATTATTGTGGGAAGTCTTCTGTTTGAAAGCTGACATGAGCAACACAGTTGGTTCAGGCAGCAAAAAGAGTTAAGTGCTGTGAGAAATATCTCACTTGGCATTCAGTGACTTAGCCCTAAAGGGCTTGATTAATTGAGTGATGTTTTTGTGAAGTCAGTTGGTATAAAGGGCAAAGAGCATCTTGAATTATTTTGGAAATTTTGTAGCTTAAATGATTTGCTACTGCTTATCCTGGATATCTCGGAACTGTTTCCCTAAATGATATTTTAGACCTATGCTCTAATTAGTCTGTTTCCACAGTCTCAGTGACTGTTACATAAAAATTCCAAATTTGTTCTTATTTTCAAATTTATCAGCAGATTTTTTTTAATTCGCTGCATAAGCATCCTTATATAGAAACATTTGTTTACTTGGTGTGAAGGTACTCTGCGTGTGCTCTGTGACTAAAAAGGTAAAAAGGTTTTTAGTTTTGAAATAAAATGGAAATGTTTTCAGAAATGTGACTGAGGAAGATAATTTTTTAAGATAAAATTACTGAAATATTTTGTGCCACTAAAAAAAATTACTAGGAGATAGAAATTGATTGAAATTTTAGCCTAAAGATCGATTGAAATTAAACTGTTCAACTCTTGTATTTTGAATTTAAACTGCCTTTCTGTTTAGAAAATGTTACTTGAGAGCTATGTCTTACTTATTCATTGTTCAACTATACTGAAAGGAATTTAAAGTACCAGAGCACACGTGCTGTGTTGTTATCCATAAAAAAATCCATTTGTTTATTGTGATTATCTTTCCAGATGCAAAGTTTTTCTCATGTCTAATCTATTTTATGGCCTTTATTTGTATATACTGTGCTTTTATAGTCATTGCCTTCAAAATGTAAAGCACCTTCTCGGTTTTAGGAATCATTATTCTGCTATCACTCTGCAAAAAAATGTTGCTTTCAAAAGGAAACAAAAAATCATGGACAATACTGTTAACTGTGTKGAAGCTTATTGTATTTTTGTTGTTTGCTTTGAAAGTCTTTAGTATCAGAAGGGAATTTGCTTTTTGTGAAATGCTCACTCTTGGGTTGCAAGCTTTCAGGTAGATTATGGGAGCCTCAAGAATCCCTTGGAAAGGGTAGTTTATATCTCATTGCTCTGATGTGCTCCCTGTGGACACAGGCAGCGCTTGGTCTTTGGGAGTGGGAGAGAACCTGACCTGCTTTTGTTCTCCTTGCCCAGACAACCAAAGCCTGGTCTTTTGGGCTCTCATTGGAGCAGGAAAGACTATGAGCCTTGTGTCGACTTTAGCACTTGGTTGCAGAAATTTTATGCCTTTATTGGATTTTTTAAAATGTGGTATTGGTTTGGATTGAGATAAGCTTTGAGCTGTCACCTTTGTAACATTACCCCATTGTATTTATTACTTTCTAGCATAACATTTACAATATTTTGTATTTATTGTGTTGCTTAAGTTCCCATTTTTCTCCTTTCCTTCTTTTTCTTCTTAGTCATCCATTTTGTTAAGCAGCCTCCCATTCATCTTCCTCCTAAAGTTGTGGATGGACTTCCAGGCTTTTGAGCAGTTACTTATGTTTTTGATAATGGGCTTGTGTCTAACTCTTGGGCTGAAACCTTGAGTCTGTGCATCACGCTGCAGTGCAGCAAGTGCTGAACAACCTTGTCAGGCTGTTAGATAATTTGGGGTCCTGTTCATGCATTAGTTTGCAGAGATGGCCAAGCTGCAGTAGGACCAGTGCAAGAATAAACTCAAAGAGAGCATGAGTCCTGCATCCTGCAGCTGGGATTTGTACAAGAACTGGCCGCTTTTTAGGCTCTTCTGAGGATGAGGACAATGACAACCTGTGTTGTAGGTGCCCATAAGCATGAGGAGCTTGCTGTGAGCTGACCTTGTCTTGCTGGACACAGACACACCATGGAGAAAGCTTGACCAGCACGTGGAAATCAGCAGTGGTGTTACCCAGCCGGGGAAGGAAGAGTGTAGCTCATGTAATCTCATTTCTTGGGATCCTTGAAGGAGGGCTTTCCTAGGAGCAACCTGTATTTCCAGCGTGTCGGAAGTTCATCTCCATGAAGTTAATTCTGTTGTGCGGGTCAGTCGGGCCTCGTGTCCCAGCTGGTGCTGTGGTGCAAGGGCGTGCTGAGGATCAGCCACCTGCTCGTGTCCCGGAGCACCCTGTCCAAAAGGGGATTTGGCTTCAGGAGCAGCTCCTGCTTCTCACTTGGGAACAGGAGAAACCAGAGCCTTGAATGCCAGCTGGATTTGAGAGAAGTTCAGGGATTTGGAGCTGATGTCAGTCCGCAAAACATGAAGCAGGCACAGCTGGGCATGTGCTTCACGTGGCACTTTCTATGTTGGGTTTATGCTACGTGTGCTCAATGGAAAGCTGAAGGAAATGCTTTCCTTGCCTGCTGGCTGCACCCCGCTGTGGTTTGACAGTTACTGTATTCCCAGCAATTACAGACTGTCAAAGGCTTGCACTGCTGTAAAGGAAGCATCTGCCCATCTGAGCCTGGATTCTTCTCTTAGAGGGTGGTTTTAATGAAATGCAGGTTTCTTCTACCTGGTAGAGTGGTCAGTAGGGGAATGGGTTGAGCCCTCCCAGCGCAGTTTGCATTTAGTTGTTTACAGAAGTGCATTTGATTAAGGCAGCCTACTGGTGTATTTACAACTTTGTGCATCGCTTCTGCCTTTCCATGCGAGATTGGTAAGACTTAGTTGTACAGGACTCCTCTAGATAGCTGTTGTATCTATCCCACCCTTGTGCCTGGCCATGGCAAAGATCCTGATTTCCCTTTGTTACTAGAACTTCCAAGCTGTCCACTTCCAGCTGTCCACTTCCATTCTGCCTGCTCCTTTTAATTAAGTTTGTTATTTGATTAATTTCTGTCCGACTTCTAGGGGCTGGTAATTCTGAAATGGAGTTTAGTGGCTGTCTCATCTGCCTTTGCCTATGCTGCAAAACCAGACTGTGATAGTGTGAGAGACTGGTCAAATGAYAGCAGTGCTGGCACTTCTGGTGGTGCTTGGAGAATATTGCCCTGAACAGGGGTGGTAAAACCTGGATATATTTGGTTGATAAAATAACCTACTAGAGGAATTGACTGGGAGTCCAYCCCAAGCAGATTTCTCCTTCTTTTCTTTTTGATCCATTCTTTTTTCTTATTTTTCAAATCTGTATCCAGTAACATGCACATACCCTGTTATTCATGAATTCTCAACGTTTGCTTTGAGCTTTTTGTTTGTGGAATCAGTATTGTGTTTCATCTGTGGTGTTGTCCTGCTAGGCCTTTTTCWTACAGTTAAAGAAATGCATGTTCTTCATGCGTTTTCTTCACCATAAAGCATGTTATAATCTATTAGGGAAGGAGAATGTGCAGTGTGCATCGATTCAAAAAAATTGTAACCATTCACATCTCCCTCTCCCTAAAGAGCTGTTGCTCTTTATAGTATAGATGTATGGGGGTAAATATTGAAGGATGAGATGCTTAAGAAAATGGACTGTTTGTACAAACTCGATGTGAAGGCTGCCTTTATTTACATGTAAGCCTGAGACCCAAGAATGAGATGTTTGCTTCTGTATAGCCCTCAGTTCCAGGTGCGTGTGCTGGTGCTGAACACTTGGAGTGTYACCTTCACCCATGAGCTTTTTTCTTGTCAGTCTGAGCTGAGATTACTGCGTTCGTGCGCTCTAATTTCATCCACTTCATATTATTTAGTCTGTCCTGTTCATTTATTATAAGACCATCTTCCCAACTCACTCAATAGTTTTGGATGTTGCGGTGATCTGCTCAGCTTGGTCAGTGGCTCATCTTGTGTTGTCCAGCATCGAAGTTCAGCCATCAGAACCATTAATTGATCTATGAGGTTTTTTTTTGCAAAATTGGGAGCAATTTGACAAACCAAAAATCTCTCAGCAGTCTCTATTTGAATTTTAAAGTATAACCACGAAGATTTCTATTTTGTTCTGTACTGCTTTGCTTCAAAGGATACCATTATGTGCCCTGTGTTTAACTGACCTTTTAAAAACAGGCATTATGTTCTGGAATGGTTCTTCTAGTGGCTAAAGTTTTCCTCCCCAAAAAGAGAGAGGCCACATAGATAGTCATAATTCCGTTTTGTAATAAAACCACATTAGCATTCTAGGGAACTGTTTTTCTTAGCTTGAGTCTAGGCATTTTATGTTCTATGCAGGAGCCAACTGAGATTTCTGAGAATATGTGTATTCAGAAGCATGCAAATGGCACTGATTTCACAAATATGAGGACACTGTTGAAACTTGAGGATGAAGCAAGTCAATAATATGGGCACATGACTCTGCTCTCTTGTCGTCAAAGCTGGTTTTATTCTATGCACTAGAAAAGAAAATCCTAAATGGATATTCTTCAGCATTTAACATTCACTTCTGTCTTTTCAAAACAGCAAAACCAAATTCCTCTTTAAACACTGCGTTCTTAAAGATAAACTTGTAGCTGTCAGTTGCCATTCTCTTTTACACAGGAGAATTTTATCTTGTTCTCAGCTGTGCACAAACCTGTTTATATAAATTATTGTAAATGTCTTTGATATGAGAATGACACAATTTGCAGAGGAATAATCCTTTTGCTTTAAATATCTAAGTCACTTATTTTCTAAAAATCTTTCTCAATATTCAAATCCTTTATTTTAAGCAGCATGTTAAATAACCTTCCAAGGCCTAGCTCTGTTTGTGGTGGGTTCTTTCTTTGTTTTGTTTCTTGAACTTAGGTAAAATTTCCACTGAAGTCGGTGGGTTGGCCTTTTTTGTTGCTTTTTTGCCCCCCTCTCTCTATGAAAGCAGCTTAATCTCCTCTCCATGCTCCGTATTTGCCTGAGCTMCATGTGCACAGGATGGATTTAGGTGCCACAGCTGATAGGCAGGAGCCTGTTGGGCTCTGGGCAACCGAACCTTTAATAGTGCCAGACCTGAGACAGGAGCCTTGCTGATGCTGTCAAAGCAAAGAATATAGTTAAAGGTTCTCCTTAAATGCACATGTGTCTCAGTGTATGTGCCTATAAGATGGTAAATGTAAGGTGTTAGAAATGTTTGAGGAACAGAAGCTAGATAACATTTGTTGAAGAGTTGAAGCTCTTGCTGCCTTTAAATGCAACCCCCTTTGCAACCTCTCTTTCCAGTGCTTAGGAGCTAAGTGCTTTTCCCACCATCTTTCAGGGTAAATCTCTGCAAGTCTGCACAGTACACCTTTTTTTTTTTTGCCCCAACATGCCTGTTTATGATAAAACTACCACTATGTAAAAATACCCTATTGATGTTGTGGCTACTTTTAAAAATCCTCATCTGATTAAGAGTGCTTCCTCTTTCCAAGGGTGTTTATCTAGCAAATAAGGGCAAAACCTTCCAGAAAGGTTTCCTTTAGGTGCATCCGATTTGCATGTTCTGTAACARTAGAGATCCCCTAAATGATTGAAGATCCCCTGCTCTACTTGAATAACAATTTGGATTGCCTAAGAACAAAGCAGACCGAGAGCCAGACACCTAACACCGCTGAAATCTCGCGCCACAGCGCGGTGCGTAACGTAGTTGGTTTGTGAGAGCCGCAGCTGCCGGCTGCAAGTGATAATTACTCATGTAATAATGACCGTAACTAACCGAAATGTGACTTGACTTTGAGCTTTCTGTCCTCATTAAACTCTGTTCACCTTCTCTGCAACTCTCCATGCTGCATGCTAGCACGGAGCAGTCGCATCCCCCGACCCAGCATGAGTCAGGGGTGCAGCCGCGATACCAGCCGCGAGAGCAGTCGAGATACAAGCCCTGCTCGGGGCTTCCCGCCGCTCGGTGAGTACACGCAGGCACCGGAGCTTTAAGGGTCGGTTATTATTATTTTTCTTCCTTTTTCCCCTGTTCTGATTGCCCTTACTGGCAGGTGGGATGAGTTTGGTCCCTCTCCTCTGTTGGATTCCTGACACGCTCCCCCTTTCCAGCCCTGTTCCCCTTCTGTTTTCTTCTGCATGCCTCAGTTCTGGTTCTCAGCATTTCACTGTTAGCAGGAAAGTGGTTCAGTCTGAACTCCAGCAATTCTCTGGTTTGTTAAATCAGCTGTTGTGAGGCTGCTGTGCCTCATTTTGCACCTGTGATAGAGATTTATGGGAGAGCAAGCCTATATTTTCTAAGTCACAGCAAAGTTGTCAGCAGCATCGTAGTCCGTTGCTAAGTGACTCCAATTATGTGTGATTTGGGGTGTGTGTGTGTGTGTGTGTGTTTCCTTTCCTTTTATTATTTTTTTTCCCTTTAGAGCTAGGTGCAGGGAAAGTAAATAGTTTTGATAATAAACCTCTCATAAAAAGACATCCTTTTCTTTAGATGCTGTAATTCACCAATTAAGGGGTGGCACATGCCATTTTGTAGGGATGTCTGCTGAAGAAAAGCTGGGTTTTTAAAGTAGCTTAAGTGTACAGCACAAATAGAAAATCTCATTATATTATAGCTACCACATGCAGAAGTTTATCTGCACAGGGCAAAAAACAGAATAGTTAATGTTTCTGATCAAATACCATATCATATCTATATTTTTTCAACCAGTTACATTACTTGTTGTATAAAAGCTGTGTTTGTCCTCTCAGATTAATGAAATACAGTTGATCTCCATGGCCTCTCTGTTTACATTATAATTTTGTATTTATGCATGTGGTTCGAAGTGAGAAAGAAGCTTTTACAGCTTTAAACACGGCTGAAGAATGTTATTGAACTGTTATTTGTCACRCAGTGGCAAAATACAGCTTTGCCAAGCAGTGTGGAACACGGCATTTTGGGTTTAATTCTGTTATGAAAAGGTTATGAAAAAATATGAAGAGATAAGCTAATGTTTTCTATTTGGTTTTCATAGTTCATGTATTGTACATTGAATAACCTTATAAACTAACACATTATTGATTTGGTTATTTGTCTCAGCTTCAGGTGTTATCAGTGGAGGGATTCTTGTTAATGTGCCTYTTTTGAAATCATCGCCAGATTTCCAGTGATTTCAGTGAAGCAGAGTGGAATTTTCAAATTAATACTAGAAAAGCTTTAGGATTAAACTTCATTTGTACAGCACGGAGCTACAAAATTTGTTTGCTTCATTGATAAAATCTCATTTGATGAGAAATGAGAAGGAGGAGGTCAGCTTYATGTTGGCTTCTATCTCCTCAAGAAAGATAGCATCTCTATTAAATGAACTGACTTGATACCAGAGTTTTAAAAGGAYAGTAAATTTATAACTGTAGCTTGTTCTTTATAGGTGTCTGTCTAGCTTCTATGTAAGATAAGGCAGGTTTCTCTGACCAAAGTGTTTAAGAATGCTGGGTTTCAGGAGAAACTGCACAGTGCTTGGTGGTGGTGTTTCCTTTATGTCAGTGAAAATACATTAATTGAAACAGCTTCCTGAGTCTTCCTCCCGGAGGATAAATASAGTCTGCCTGGATTCACAAAGAGCTTGAATTTGGGGCATCACCACTGAGTTCTGCCCTGTCTGTCAAATACAAAACTTGTTACAACTATCGATTACAGTCTTGTTTAAAAAAAAAAATCATTTGGGAGACTGAGGGAAATTACAAATTAACTTATGAAGCTTAATGACCCAAAGATTATTTTGTCTCCAAAAGTGGTCTTATACAAATCATAAAGGGTGTGAAGTGAAGGTGTAAGGTGGGGAAGCGGTGTCAGCAGAATAAGTTGTCATCATCTTGCCTGTTTCGGTATTTTCACTGAAATGCTGCAAACTGGAACGTGCTCATAAACTTTCAAATGAGCTACAGAATTATTCRGAAGAAATGCATTCCCAATAATTCAAGCCAAAACAGTATGACAGTCTTTTTAGAATCCAACTAGTAATAATATTAATGCTAAGATCATATATTAAGTGTATATACAAGATAATCTTACTGTCCCTAGTCTATTTAGTTAGTATTAGTGAACTGTGTTTTGGGTAGCTATATGTGAAGGAGAATCTATGCATTTAACAGCATTATGGTCGATGCCAACACTGATATCCTGACCTTGCACATTTGTTCTGCTTGCCTTCAAGTCTGTCTCTGCAGCTGTGCCATGTGCACCAAGCAACTTGCTTCCCGAGTTCAGAAGCACTAGTGAAGAGTCAGTCTTCACCCTCAGCATCCTTGCAAGGATGTGGTTTTAAACATAGATAACCAGATATTTAATTCCTGTTTATTCTTGGGTCTTAATCTTGCAGTGACATCAACAGGGACACAGTGYGTGGCTTGGGAGAAAGCAACTGCAAGATCAGAATCTTAGTTGTGAGGCTCAGTCCATAATCCTCTATGGATCCTGCAGATCTTTCATGAGTTACTTATGGTGTCAGTGGTTTTATTCTCTTTTTCTCTGTTTTGAAAAACCACATTACATATTTTGTATAGCTTATAGCCAAGCTCTCCSCATTGGGAGAAAACACGGTTTTCATTTTTCTTATTTTGCTGTTCTCTATTTTATAATATTAGTATTTGTTTCTGACTGTTGTGTGTAAAACAGAAGACTTCAAATTTCTGTATTGCACATATATATAATTAACTAACTAAATTTACTTGTGTTAGAAGGTCATTTGGGCTATTTTGCATTTTCCCTACAGTAATAGTAAGGATGGTCAAGTAACAAGGCCTTCAGTGAAACTGTGATGATGAATTGCTCATGTGAGCACTTAGGACGTTCTTGAGTAGTTACTAAGTGAGCATTTTATTGCTGACATAGGGAGAACCCCTTTAGAGAGGGAGAAAAAAATAAAAGCTACATTTATTTCTGTAATTTTGAAATGACCAGACCAGCTTTCCATTTGCCTTCATAAACAACTCACCTTTATACTAGATCCAAGAACTAAAATCCTTCTCTCCAAACGCATTTTACAATTTATGTCCTGCTGAAAATTAGGAATTGAAGTGGAGCTAAATTGGGCTTCAGCTCTTCCACACCTGTGTATGCTCTGTTGCTACTAACAGTGTGTGAGCATGTGTTGTAATTCTATATACATATATGTATGTGCATATTCAGATGAATATCTGTGTGCGTATATATAGATTGTGGARACACGTATGCAAGATTTCTTAAAGCAAGAGACTTTTGGTAGCAACAGAAATAATTGTGTCGGGTTTTTTTTTTTTTAAATACACACACGTATGTATGTATATATATATATGCACATGTGTATATATACACATATCTTAAAAGACCCTCTGTATGCAGTGGTGAGCTGACCTCCCTTGTGTGACTCSTTGTGCTCTTCCCGCCTTTGTGGTAACTCATTCCCTTTTTTGAACACGGGCTAGAATGGTGTGGAAAGGCCTTGCCAGCACACTGGCTAAGCATCCATCTCGGCTTCACTTTGGGGTTTAGATCAGCCACATCTAAACCCTGTAGTTACCTGCTCCATGTTCTCACGATGTCCGTCTTCCAGATCCGTGGTTCTGGAACGTGACTGACATGCGCTGATTTATTTTATTTGTTTATTGTGCTGAACTGCACCAAGTTCCGGACGATTTCGACCGAGTTTTGTCATGGATGGTGTTTAGGGGCGAGGGAGAGCGGGGAAGCTGTGGATGGAGATGTCCCTGTGGGGCTTGCACTGTATCTGTTACGCTTTCATATACAACGTCATTCCCCTTCACTATAAAACACGTATACTGATAGCGCTCACGTGCATCTCCTTTGGACTGTGGCATTTTCTGTCTTGGGTTAAATGTGTGTTAATCCTGTGGGTGTTGCCATTCCTTTTACTTGCAGCTTCTCGACGTCATTCCAGGTCCACTAGTGCTCTCTCCACTGCTGATTCTGTTGGGCAGTCAGGTGAACAAGTGCTAACTGCATGAATCTGCTTCGTATTCATCTTGTTTTACACCATTTTAACATTTGCCATCACGTGCATCAGCCAGCACTTAAGCATGGGCTTCTCACCGCTGTGGGGCTTCTTGTTCTGTTCGTCCAACGTGGCTTTTTACTTTTCAGTTTGGTTTATTGATTTTCTTTCTTTATTTCTTTTTAATTTTATGTATTTTAGGAATACTGTGAGCAGTGTTTAAACAAAGGGTGATCCAAGGCTTTCTCAGTTCTCCTACAAATTGGATCAGTTGTGCAGCATGAATGGTGCAGAGCACTKGCAGCTTCCCTTGGTGTTTCTTCCTTAGCAGTGTAGTGGTCCCCAGTGCCTAGGACTGAGGCCCAGTGGATCTGATCCCACTCGTTGCCAAATGTCCTGGAATCCTCCCTCTTTTAATGGAATTTCTRTGTCGAGTCTGTCCAAAATGCACAAAAGAGCAAAATTTAAAAATCTAATGACAGGGGCATAGCACTTGCTGACCTATGTTTTGTATAATTCTGAAGGGCTTGTCCTAAGTTCATGGAAGTTGGAAAAATGATTCCCAGGCTCCAAACCAGGAGGTTAATGAGAAAGATCTGCTCATTTTAGTTACCTTCTTCCCSGGCCCTGTGTGGGGTTTCTCAATTGCTGATTGCCTGTAACTGCTGTGGAAATCAGCGTATTGCTGGGAGTCCTAAGAAATGAATGAGGGCTTCTAGGCTTTGAGTCCTTAGAATTTAACTGAAAAGGGGAGAAAGATRATGAAGAAAATGAATGAAGGCTCCAGTATTTGCTCAGAGGCTAAAATTGCAAAAAGAATGAGTGGTATTGAAAGGTATTTAATTGTTCTCTCTTCAGGTAGGGAGTGAAAAATAGGTTGTTTCTYTCAAGTCTGGCTTAAATGGCTGTCATTTAAATAAAATGCTGCCAATATTTCCCTTAAGAAGTAACTCTGTGGAAATGACACAGCTGATTTGAATGTCTTTGGCATTTGAAAAACAATCATTTGAATTTGGTATATTTAAAAAAAATAATAATAATAATGCAGATCTAAGCATACATTTTGGGTTTCCCTTCAGTTTTCTGTAAGATTTATGGCATGCTTGGCTCTGGGGATTTGGTACAAAGCATAATTATATCCTGATATAATTCAAGTCAACTTGATCCTACAGAAGGCCCAAACCACTAAAAATGGCAAAACTGAACCAAAAAAATAGTGTTCTTCCTTGAGTAGATATAAGAATAACAACAACTCTGGTCAGGGAGATGAGGCAATCTCCGCGCTCTCCTTTGCCACTAGTGCTGGGGTTGTTTATGGTAGTTATTCCAGGAGCCAAATATTTTCCTGGCACTAAATTACAGATCTGCCTGGGCCTCTCTTAAAATATGTGTCCATCTAATATCTGCACTTGGGGACAAGATGGGCATCTAGGGGAGAAGCCCAGGGTGACCTGTATTATGTTTTTTGGTTATCTTTAAATCTCTCTTTGAAAAGATCCCTGTGATAGCCATGGAGACAGTTMTAAGGCAGCAGGCTACATTCTACTTGTCCAAATTCGTTTTATTTTTTTTTWWAAAAAGCTCCTTTTTGTTTCTTTATGCTGGGTATTTAAACTGATGTACAACTGAATTACTTTCTCGTTCTGTTGTTCATTAAAACAAGAGAAACTATCTTCCCTTTTCTAATGTAATACTAAATTAACATGAAAATAGATGACGTGGTGTAATATTTTATGATGCTCTGTTGTTTCAAAGCTACAGCAGCAAATCCTCTTCTCAGTAACACTTGAATATCGTCACTAAAGTTAGCTGGGTTTAAATGTAAAACTGAGACTAAAACTTGTCTCAAAYCTTAAACTTGTGCAGTTATTTCTGCTTGGGGAAAAAAACCCTTGTTTTCTGTATACCTTTGTAGCACATATCTTTATAACTTGTGTCTTCAGCTTCAATTTGACTTAATGCAATATAATTTCCTCTGTACCTCTATTAAAAKTGTACAGATATTTTCATTTTAGGGATGAAGTTCTTTCAACTAAGCAATTATAATGGTTCTCCAACCAAGTGCATTAAAAAAGGGGATAGTAATAATGCATACAACTTTTTATTTCTTCGTGAACTGTCATGTTTTAATTACTTTTCAGCAGTAGTTCTAAGAAGTTGTGAGGTTTTTTTTTTTTCCTTTTCTTTTTCTTCTTCTTGTTTCTGCTCCCTGCCCCCATGTAATGTGTTTTGTAGAAAATGTGCTTTTGTTGTAAATTGGAAATGTCTGGTCTGGTTACATAACTCTGAGAAACAGTAAGTTTTGATAAACAACACTTTTCTGATAAATGCTAGTCCTTGGTTTTCCTCTAAATACAACACTTCTCAAAAAAAATTAAAGTCTCCCCTATTTTCCCCTTAGTAGCTTAATCCTTGCTCTGACTTGGGTAATGCTCTGAAATCATGTTCAGGGAATGCTTTGAAATAGGACAGTAGATGGGCAAGTTTCCATATCTGATTTAAATTATGCATATCAGTGTGAGCTGCATAYTTAAGAGGAATTTCAGTGCAGTAGTTATTAAAAAAAAAAAAAAGGTAGTTTTATTACAAGTAAAACTTTTCCTTTAAAAATGCATGCACTAAGCTACTGAATATAGTATTTGACCTCAGTTTGGTGGAAATCCATGACACAGGTACCTGTTTTTAAAACACTTTTTCATTCATTAAGTATAGATGAACTAAGAAAAAATTCTAGATGACGTGATCCCTCTGTTTTGCCATTTGACCACTACATCCAGTATGGATGAGGTGAAGGTTTCTTAAATAGGTTTATCAGCTTGATCCGTGCACCACTGAAGTTGCTGGCAAAACTCCTAGTGACACGAAAGGCTGCAGGGAGAGCGGTGGGTTCCCAGACTCTCCTGAGCAGAGGTTGGGCCCCCATGGAAACAAATTCTAATGCTCCCTGAGCCTCAGAATGGTTTGGAAGGCCAAAAGTGATCTCTCTGTTTCTAACCTGGCGCCAGGACCTCATTGCCCTGCAGCTGATCTGATCCTCAAAGCTGCTGTCGAGCTTGGCCCGTGGCACCCACCTCACTTGGTCAAAATGAACCCCTGCTAGTGCTGATTTTATGGATTGGCTTTGCCCAAAGAAGCTCATTTCTGGTTTTATTTTTATTTATTTATTTATTTTTCCAAAATTGGGGCAAATTGTAAGGCAAGTCAATTAACAGCAGGAATGTAAGTGGCATTTTGGACCCAACGCTTTGTTTTGATGTCGTTCAGAGCTTTGCCGTCAAATTCAAGGGCAGAAGAATGATACTATTTGATTTAAAAAAAACCCTTTTGATTTATCCTATCRCAAGTTAAGCTGCACTTCAGTCAAGCGTGCATGTTAAACTGCTGCTACAGAACTGTAAGAAAACAACAATAAAACAACCACTACACAAGCAAACAATAAACATCCTTATTTATATTCTCCGGGGCRTAGGATGCTCCTCAAGTGTTGAGACATGAAGTAGGCTGATCTTTGCTTCTAATCTCAGGCCTTTGAGAAGGAGCTGCAGGATGGGTCAGTGCGCGAGCAGGGGCGTGTTCTGACCCCGCGGGCACAGCCCTGTCTCTTGAAGTTAATGCAGATTGCACTGTTCATTTCTGAGCGCGCCACATTGGGGCCAGCCTGTCTGTTGCTGGCATTAAAATAAACCTTTGAAACTGCCTCTATTTAAAAAGGGAAACACAAAATAGACGCCCTTCTTCCCAGCTTAAAACAAACAAACAGAAAAGACATGTCCCGAGGATGCAAAATAGTCCCTGGGGGCCCGGCAAACAACAGTAGTTCATTTCTCCCTCTAATGGCAGCCTCTCTGGATCCGTGGATAAAAGGGTATTTAATGAGAAAGCGCTGAGAGTTCCCAGCAGCTTTGGGGAGTGCGGCTCAGGCACCTGATTAGGATTCCAGGGGAATGTGAATTTGCTTAACAGGCCTTTTCACCCTCTTTTGTGCAGAGCGGTTCGGGCTCGGCCAGCCCGGCAGGATGCCTGCTTCCGTGAAYGCCATGCGAGTCCTGAGCACGAGCACCGACCTGGAGGCTGCCGTGGCCGATGCACTGGTAAGAGGGGAAATGCAAAATGCTCCCGACACCAGAAAGTGCCTTAAAGTTACCTGTACGTACGTTCTCCTCTTTCTTAATAGCTTTGTAGTAATTGTGCCGATGTCTGATGCTTGGTTAATGTTTGGTGGCTTTGTGTTTGGGGGATATTGGCAGCAATGTTTGTTTCTCTAGTCCATGTGAGTTCTCCCGAGTTACCTGACTGTCGTAGCTGGGTGTTGGAGCAGCAGGATGGGTTGAATCTGCTGGTGGCCTTTTGCTGGGCTGTCAGAGGCTGCATAGGGACCTCCAGCAGTGTSAGGGACCTCCATCCATTCCACTAATGGCATGGGGATTTTGTCGGGAAAAGCATCCTCTTATTATAGTGTCTGTTGCAGGTGGGGTCTTCGGAACAACTGGGGCTTTCCCTAGTTTCTGTCCTGTGTTATTTGTACCTGGCTGGATATTTGAATCAGCTCCTGGCTTGTCTCTAGTTGGTACCATATCATGGTACCAGTCAGACTGAAATGCATTGCTTGGTGTCCTGCTGGTATTTTGGAAATATTAGGTGCATTTCCAATTAAATTCATTGACATTTTTTCAATTCTGTTGTTACATGATCTTACTCTACTATAAAAAGTAGAAGCCAGAAATTATCTCTCACTCYGCAGAAGATAAATCTGAGCACAGGCCTTTGCATTTACCCTGGGGTTTGGGGTTGGGGACATAGCAGCAAGAGCAGTTGTTGCAGTTGCTTTATCCAGGTGTCCGTGTACCGTGTGTTTTCTCCAGCTCTAGCCCAGGGGATCTCAAGCAGAGTTCTCAATTTTTAATTTATTAGGAAAGAGCCATATCCCCATAGAGTTAGTGATGAACTTTTGCCCCCACTTCACTTTCAGAAAAGCCCACATCATTCGCCTTTTTATTTTGTTATCACCCAGTTCATGTCACCTCCATTTCTAGAGTATCATTACAATACTCATTGACTTTTTTAATCTATTTTTTTAATCTGTTTATAGAAACACAAAAGTAGTTGTGAATACAAGAGAAGCAGAATAGAAGAAAATAGTTGGTGGCACTGAATTTATCAGCCTGAATAGCCATTTTCATGAGCCAAATACAGTGGCTCGTGAATCCCTTCCTGCCCACTACATTTGCCCCCGAAGCAGCTCGTGGTCTCCCCATAGGTGGTGGGCTGTGAGTGTAAATGAAATCAGGTATCTCTGCACGAGCCCTTGCTGGATACTGAATATGCAGCAGGGTTTCAGTTCTTGGATGATCCCAGAGATCTGATAGGACTTAGATTCAGATAGATTCTTAGTCTTCAGACAGACTTTGGGAGTTCCCTTTGACCGTTCTGCTCTTTATAACGGACACCCTGAAGTGTTAAATGGTAGTGCTGCTAGCTGGGTAGTTCAGTCTGGATTTCTCCGGCTTTAAGAGGGGGGCAACTCTCTCTTGTTGTCCCCTTCCTTCCGACTGCCCTATGTTGCTCCTTTTTTCTTAGCTGTTGTTTCACAGTGGCAATTTACAGACTTGGTCCAGGCTCCCTTTGGAAGGACATGCGATGCCAGCTCTTTTTTAACACTTGTGTTCAGATGGGTGTTCTTTGCTGCATAGCACTGTGTGATGGCTTCTCCAAAGATGGCTTAGGCCAAATACTCAAGCTTAAAACCCAGAGGGTCATTTTGTCACCTCWGCTGTGTGCATGCAATTCCCCTCGGAGCCGCTGCTGTTTGAGGGCTGGTTTGGCCTAAAAATGCTGTCTTTGCTGGGAATCAGTGCTCGAATCTGTGAGAAGAACTCAAAGGTTGTTGGAAACTTTGGTATTAAGGGCCCTAATTCAGAGGTGCTACCCCGGTGACCTTGAAGTTAAGCTTCAAAAAGCAGTTTGCTGCAAGAATTGTAAGTTGAAAGAGACCTTGGTTAAGTGAAGTTGGTTAAACGTGCTGTACTGTAGATAGCAGTTTCCTGACATCAGAGCTTCTTTCTAGACTCCAAAGTCACTGATAATGTGTGGGTGTTGGATGGGGGTGGGCGGGTGGGGAAATGACTATCAAGAATTTGTATTTTTCAGAGCAATATTTTTGAAAAAATAAAGCAGAGAGGTGATGTATCTAGGTCTGTCATCAGGAACTTACAAACAGATAATCACACTTCAAGGCTGTCTAATAGAAATGCTGCCTAGGCTAGGGTGTACAAGCAGTGTAGCAATTAGAAAATAAAGCCAGGCATTATTATATCCACTTTTATTTTGCATAAACTGTGTTTGTTTTGTTCTTTTTTGAGTTTGCTAAGACGCATTTGCTATACATTTTTGTTGCAAAAACAAACCCTACATAAGCTTCTGACATAATTCTCTATGCTTTTTCCCACCCTTCAATATTTTCCTGCCTACAGCTGTTAGGAGACTCCAGGAGCAAGGTACTAGTGCTTTCTTGACTTTTTATTTCTACTTTCCAACTTGCCCTGCCCTTTTGCTATCCCCCATGATACTGCACGTGAGTTGATTTCTATGCTTCAATCCTGCAGTCCTAGGGGAAGCAAACTCTGCTGCCTTGACAAGTCCAAGAACTGCAGGACTGACMCTGAGGAAGGAATGCTGTGGCAAACGTTCTAGAATATAGGCAATATATAGAATATTTTTCTGATACGTTGTGTTATCAATTGTATTCATTTAAGGTTCGCTGGAGACTTATTTGTAGTTTAGCTTGGCTTGTCAGCATCATTGTTCTGTTACTGTTGTCAAAGCAGTACCTAAGGGATTTAGGTCCTGTAATGTGCATAAGTGAGATGTGAGTACTCAATTCCCTTAGCCTCTGGGAAAATTCTAGTCCAAAATAACAAAAATCATACATTCTTATATATCCCACTGAAAATCTAGTTACTTCACAACCAGTAACAAAGCAAATGTGCGTACCAGCACAGAGTCCTTTCAGCTCTTTCTTCCTTACCTTTTGTTTTTTCTTGAATTGGAAGTTGCATTGTCACAGTGTCTGTAGCCAAGAAATTGCCCATTTTTTAASAGTATTATAACACAGGGATTAAATTAGCTGTAGCTCGTTCCATTGGGCGTAAGCATCTTGTTTATATGCTGGGAGGGGCAAGCACCTTAGTTGCTTGAGTATTTCCATTGAAGTCAATGGGAATCTGTCTTGCTCTAATGAGTAAGGTAAGCAGGCAGTTTTTAGTGGCATCCTTAATATGCTTAAGTCACTATAACAATAGGATAAGTTTTGCTTTTTTAGTGATTGCAGGTAGATCATTTTTCATTTGGCACGATGCTAGTGTAAATGATTCACTAAGCTRCGTTTCCCTCTTCCAGAAAAAGCCTGTGAGAAGAAGGTACGAGCCCTACGGGATGTACTCCGATGATGACGCGAATAGCGACGCGTCGAGCGCCTGCTCCGAGCGCTCCTACGGCTCCAGGAACGGCGGCATCCCGCACTACCTGCGACAAACAGAGGATGTTGCCGAGGTCCTGAACCACTGCGCCAGCTCCAACTGGTCCGAAAGGAAAGAAGGGCTCATAGGTCTTCAGAACTTACTGAAAAGCCAGCGGACACTCAGGTGACCTGCTTAGCCTTCTGGTTTTTAGTCGCTCATGGGCGTTGACTTTTAGCTACAGTCAGTAATTTTGACTTGCCTTATGCAAACAAATGGTCCCCCTTCCAGCCTTGAAGGCTCTTGTCCCACAGTGTGGGGCTCTGTGGTTAACAGAGAAGAATTCTACCATGGGAGCAGTATCACTTCTCTTAAATTTGTGATAGTGGTGTAGACAAAACCAAATTAAGAGTTCTTACTACTTGGAGCCTTCCTCTGTCTCCTCAAGTCTTCTGATGGTAGGTGCTTGTGGCAGCACGGTGAGATTTCTCACAATGATGGTAATGTAAATGCACTCAAAGGGTGGTACCATTTTTACATATTAAGACTTTAATAAATTTTTTTTCCTAGTAACTCATTTAGTGAAGCAAGCATCTCTACATTTCTTCTAAAAACTACTCAGGGTGTGTGTGTGTTTCAAAGATGAGATCAAACGATACCTACTGTAATGTGAGGTCTACTTTGATTCTCTATGAAGGTGCTGTTAAGTATAATTACTTGTGGCTCTTTGTGAATGCACCAGGTATAGTGATTTTGTAACTCTTTAAAAATCCTATAGCAGAAATTTGAATCTTCTGTAAACATCACTTATAATGTAGAAGGAAATTTCTTAAGGCAGTGAAGTAGGTGTGCCACCTCTGAAACCTTATTTATCGTAGGAGAGACAGGTCTTCTTCCCTTGTCAAAAGCCAAATAAACCCTTGAAACACCTTTTGCATGTGATGCATTAGAACAGGTTTTAGACTTACCCAGTAGTTAGGTGGGAACTTTATGTGGCCACAGGTCATGGTAACTGAAGTCATCTGGCTCTTGGGCCATGGGCTTTTCACCCCTGGCTTGTGATGAAGAGGTTTTGACAAGAAGCCRTTTATCTTTTGGCTCTTTTGGAGACTGCCTTTGCAAATAGCTGCAGCATTTTATCTTCCTGTTACGAGYATTATGAACTTAAATTAGGACTAAGTTTATAGGTGGCTGTTGTGTTTGATTGGCAGTCTGTCTGCCTGGATAAGTCTAGTTATTTTCATTTTAAAAGGTCTTATTTGCTGAAAACTCACAATTCTCTTTGTTAGCAGGGAGAGAATAAAAGATTAGGGCTGGAAAGGTTATTTCATCCCATCATGGGAAAGAACTTCCCATGATGTGACACAACCTTAAAGTGGGAGGTACTACAAGTTTTAAATATCATTGAGTCTCTAGATCTGAGGTGCCTTTTGATGTGGTCAACTTGTGAGAATTTTAAAAGCTATTTCCCTTGTGAATGCTTTGTTTTCCCCTCAAAAAAAAAAAAACAAAAAACAAACAAAAAGCAGGAAAAACTCTCTTGGCACCTCGTATGCTTGTATGGAAATATATGGGAAACTTTATTACCAAGATGTGTGAGGATTGTAACAACCAGAACTTCAAATAATACTGGTGATAGTTCCAAGGGAGGAGGTGCTGGAGGATCAGGCAATGGACTCTTTACCTGGATCAGTAGCTCTTAGCAGAAAATGCTGGTAGGAAAGAAGCTGCTTTCAGCCTTGCTGGTTGTAGTATTTGAACTGTGAGCCTGAGCTAGTTCCTCAAACTGGCCAGTTTGCTTTGATCCTAGACAGTTTGTTAAACCCCTCCCAGAATCTACACTGTCTTAATATTAAGCCTCTGCAGAGTTATTTTTCTATTTTGCAACTCCTTTTAGCTGTCTGGATTAGATTCCCTTTTGGTTTGATTGGTCTCATTCCACCTTTGTTCAGGGTTGATCTGGTGCCTGTTCTGGTAATTAAATTTTACCATCCTGTGTGATCCTGCAGTATCACGTAGAATATCATCAAAGTTATTAGTGCAAGGGATGAGTTSTCTTTTTCTAATTACACCCAGCATCTTCTGTTCTAAGTAATAAGCTGAATGTCAGGTGGTGATGTGACTAGGTTTTCTTTAGCTCTCACGGGTAAAATGGACGTGGTCCTCTCTTTATTGGGAATTTTATATCCAGAAAGATGGTAGCATCCAAAGGGGTGCAATATGTACCTATCCTCACAGTTTCATACAGCTTCTGGTGATCTAGCCCTGCAAGGTCTTCTCAGTAAAGCAAAGTCCAGGAGATCTCTTAAAGAAATGTTCCTCTAGTGCCCGTTTGGCATGGGCCTTGGGTCAGCAGGTCTTTAAAAAAGAGACATGCTTAAAATCACTGTCTTCATGTAACCCCTGTCCAGAGAAAACTTTCATTAGAGTGCTAGAAAGGAGCAGTCGTGTGGAGGCAGGAGAGCGCTGCCAAGCAGCCGTTTTGAGGCAGTGCAGTCTCCATCCAGCATGAAGCTGCCAGCTTTCTTTGGCCTTGTTATAAAGACTTTGTTTGTTTGCATTCAGCTCTTGGAGCTTTGTCTTTGCGCCCTTTGAAAATGTGATCAGCCTTTCAATGTATGAATACATTTATTTGGGGCGAGGAGGGGAAGCCCAGCGTTACTTAAATATCAGATAACCACCGTGTTCTGGCTGGTTCTTTAAAGCTTATTTTAGTGTTAAATACATGTTGGTAGATTGGGGAATTAATGTCTGTCTGGTAACAGGGTACCTGTAAATGACTGTTCTCTGGGGGATCAATGTGTATGTTGCTAGATGCTCCAGTTTCACAGGAACTGGGGAAAGATACCTAATACCTTAATATCTGTAGTTACCCAGATGTTACTCAATCATTTGGACTGTAACCAGGTAAAGCTTACACCTTCTTTGACAGCCTGCCTTGCAGGAAAACTCATATTGTAACATTTCACCCTGTATTTTTCAATACATTGCAGTTAAGAGCTTTGGCAACATTTTTTTTTGATTCAAGTTCAATATCCCATGAAATATCTTTTGAACATCTTATGAAAAAGSACCAGTGGAAAGTTGCCCTTTTGCCTAAAAAGGGCATTATTAAGTGTTTTTAAACTCCTACTAATAGGAACTTGCACTTTTACCTTGGTTTTTAGTTCTCTTCCGATTGATTAGGTTTGCAATGCATTGGTCTGTTATCTGTTCCGATATATATGCCTTCTCAGTGAGTCTTGTGTATCTGCTAATATCATGTGATCCTAGAGAGATTTCACTGGGGCTTCTGATGATTCAGAGAACAAAGTATTTGATTCCTGTCTATCCGAACAGCATGGGAGTTAGCTGGAACTTGGAAAAATTGAATTTCCTGGCACAAAAGAGCCTGAGAAATCGATTCCTAGGCAATAAAGRGGAAATATATCGGTGAATTGGCAACTTTGATACAAGCAGACAGTAAATACCTCCTGAACATGCACATTTTAGGTTGTCTTCTGCAATCTGGCAGCAAGAAGCAGAAGCTCTGTTTTCAAAACATGTTTATTTGATTTTTAACCTAAGCCTTGTGTTCCCAGCAGCTAAGCTGGGATGGCAAATACAGCTTTGTCTAGGCAGAGAATTTTCAGAAGCATGACTGAACCTTTAAATGAAGAAGATGAAATCTTTTTCAACRGTTATTTTAGTGCTGCAACTGGAGATCTCACATTAATATCATGTTTTATTCTGTATTTCAGCCGAGTTGAGTTAAAAAGGCTGTGCGAGATATTTACTCGGATGTTTGCTGACCCTCACAGCAAGGTAAGAGCGCCGAGGCCTGCCGCGTTCTCTGTGTTACCGTGTGTGCACATTGGACATTGTTCCAGAATTAATGGTTGGCATTTCTAGCCCTGCCATCTGCTGGGGGAAACTGGAATTTATAAATCTCACGGCTGTCTGTTTTATGGTGAAAGGGATATGTGTTACAGGGCAGGACTTGCTACCTTGGAGAAGTTAGCTACAGGAGCAATACGTTCAGTTTTATCCGTATTGCTCTAGGGTCTTGGGAATGCAAAACAGAGCGAGTATCCTGAAGGGTAACTAGTCATAATTCAGCATCGTGTTCATTGCAGTTTAGATGCCCCCAGGGAGTTTTATGGAATCTCACCTAGATAACGTTCTTCATCTTTTCAATAAATTTAAACAATATCACCAATGCCTTCTTTGCCTTCTCTGTAACACCGTCCTTTGAARTTGAAGGCCACAATGTGATTGTACATGTGTCTTCTGAAAAGAAGCAGGGAAAAATGTCGGGGTTGATGAGTTGGGGAGGTTTGACTCAGAAGTGTTGAGTCCAAAAGTACCTTTCTCTTGCTGGYAGGTAAGGAGAATCAGGAAGATGTGGGAAAAATGAGTTTTGTATTCCTTCCCGAGGAAGGTTGCTGGATCTCCTTGATGGGAACTAGTAATGGCTGTATGGAARCATCTGTTGTTGTGCTAAATACAATTTTAAAAAGGAATTGTAACATAAATATTTGCGTTTTGGGTTACTTGGTGCACCAGTTCTAGCAAATGATTGTTAGGAGCAAATTCCCTCAGAAGACAGGTTATTTTATAGGGTTATAGGTCCACAGACCTACCTCAAACTGTGCATTTTTGGCCATAGCTAGTCTGGACCAGCTAGACCACAGATCTGATCCAACGTGGCAATACGTATCTGTAAAGGCTTAAATTAATATTTTTGATTCTCGAAGTTCATGCTGCGTCATGGAAAGTATGTTCTCTGTGGCACTGATGATTTTTCTTCATTGCTTTTATGAAATTATCAATATAATTGCCTTGTGTTAGATAACTGCAATTCTCAATCACTAGATTACTGCAGCATAGCTGAGGTCAGAATTTAGTCTTTCATAAAAGTACAGTTTATTTCTGCCTTCTCTCCTTGCTGARCACACTTGTGTTTGGGATGATGTGGGTCTGGGGTCTCAGAAGTTGGAATGAACTGAGGAGTGGGACGGGGGAAAACATGAAGATGTAGAAAACCACGTAGCTCTCCTGACGTGTTGCCTTTAAACGTTTTGCTCTCATAAGAGAGAATACTATATCTGCTCCAATGTATAAAATGTTTTAAATAACTCTTCTTAGAGTTTTGTTTTTAAGAATGTGTACGCTGCCTATGAATGCATCTTGTATGTGTCGACAAACTGCATCTGAGCAGTCGGGTTTGATCACTGTGTGCTAACGAGTGGTTTGTTTTGTTGCATGGCCTGCTTTGCGGTGGAATTCACAACAGAGAGTAAGTGCATTCTTCCTCTCTTCCTTCATTTGTTTCATGTGGTATTTTAATACAGMACATTCTAGATGTGTATTGTTTGTGATTTTTCTTCTTTTCTGCTCCCCAGAGCAATGTGGTCACTAAAATCATTCATTCATGAAACTGTCTATAACAAAATCATCATGAAATTCAAATACTCGGGGGAGGGAGGTTTAGAAACCTATTTATAGCCCAGTCTGTCTTTTTGTGACATACTTTTTGTTTTTAGGTCTTCAGCATGTTTTTGGAAACGCTGGTTGATTTCATCATCATCCACAAAGATGACTTGCAGGACTGGCTTTTTGTTCTCCTGACCCAATTGCTAAAGAAAATGGGAGCAGATTTGCTGGGGTCTGTGCAGGCAAAAGTTCAGAAAGCCCTGGATGTCACAAGGTAGAAGTACTTGGATGGCAAAAATTATGTAGGTTTTCTCAGGATTATAGGAAAGCACCTAATGAACCTCTTAGAAACCTAGGAGGGACATAGATTTTAAGGGAYGGATCATGCTGAATGCCAGGATAAGTGAGAACAAAATCACATCGAGGTATTTAAAGCACTGAAATCCAAACCTTGAGCTGACATAATTCAGTTTAACATTTTAAATGTTGTCCTCTAAAGTTATTCATGTAGGAAAAAGCATTTTATTTTAGTTTTCATTACTTGACTCAAAATATATATCGTTTGCAGTGCTCAAAAAGTGATTGGTACTTTGATACAGACTGCAGAATGTCTTACACGTGTTCAAACAGCACATACAGATAACAAAGGATAAGATATTGAAGCTACTGTCCTTGYGTTATCTATGTAATTCTGTAGTCTGTGGCTTTCTCCTAAAAATGTCCAGCATAGGACATCTTTATAATAAAGTGCAGCTGATACAAATATTACAGGATTTTAAGAAGGGGAAAAATAATTTAAGAGCAAATGAGATATGAGAGGAGGACATCAGAGAAATCAAAACAATATATGAACTCTAAGGAAAAGAGAAGCTGGTGCACTACTACAGATAAGCAAAGAACAGCCCAAAATGAAGAAAGGATGGAACAATATAAGAAAAGCAGAAGTGTCAGTATATTGATTTTAGAAATTTTCACTAGTCGTGGTGGATGCAGAGCTCATGTGAATGTTTATGTTTCAGATTAATCTAGTCCTGATCATTCATGTTGCATTACATTTTTGCATTTCTTTCCTTTTGACAGAGATTCTTTTCCATTTGATCAACAATTTAATATTTTGATGAGGTTTATTGTAGATCAGACCCAAACACCAAACCTTAAGGTCAGTATCAAAAGTTTTTTCAATGATTTTCTATTAATTTGCAATAGCGGATGTTCTTTTATACAGTATGGAACTCATTGAAAGGTAGTTGTAAATACCTGTATGGTACAGTGTAGAAGTACACTGTTAGCTTTCATTCATTTTTGCAGTTGTTTATAAATTTGCTTTCCTCCCCCCCAAAAGCCTGCATGTGAATGTAGTAGCTCTCATGAGAAGAGAAAATGAAATGACTTTCTCCTGAAATGACTTTCAGGAACACCTAGGCTACTGTTTCTGAAAGCATATCAAGATATAGATGCATGCCTATTTGGATTTACTCTATAGGGATATGTGGGATGCCAAATAACAAGAGTGTTTTCTCTCTCATCTCCAGAGTCTTAGCTCTTTGGAAATTCTACCTTCAGCATTTGTTGACAGACTACAAATTAAGTTTTGTCATCTGAGAACGCTAACTATAAGAGAGAGACCCCAAGATTGTAAAACATTCAGTGCTGGTGCAGGCAGCACATTAGAGTGCTGATTTGCTTATGCAAATACATGAGTAATCATTTTTTTTTCAATCCAGTTCTGATGTACTATTCCAAACTGTTACTATACTAAGTAAATCCTGGGTAAAAGGTTGCTTCTGATTTGAGTTTGATTTGGTTTGAGGCATTACATGAAGACAGGGATATTTTTTCCCCTCAATACATGGATTTTGTGAATTCGTAGGATTATCTGTTTATCCTTGGATAATTCTGTATTTTGCCAGTTCATCAGGCTCACAAATCTCACTTCTCAGGTGAAAGTTGCTATCCTGAAGTATATTGAGTCCCTGGCAAGACAGATGGATCCAACAGACTTTGTGAACTCCAGTGAGACAAGACTCGCAGTGTCCAGAATTATAACCTGGACAACAGAACCAAAGAGCTCAGATGTGAGAAAGGTAAGCCAAAATGTTGGAGCATTTTCAGTACTTCCTTTTATTCTTCAGGAGAAAAAGAAAGTCTTAAATTTAAAAAAAATCAGTATTTATAATTTAATTAAYGAAAAGGGAGAAATTAATGCCTACCTTTCCATCCAGTCTCAAGTGTTAATTCAGTAAAGGCACTCTTCATATTTGTTTTTATAGGTACTTGTCTATGTAACTTTACTATTAACATGCAAAAAGAAAACATGATTTAAATAGGTRCTTGCTATTGAGCAGCCTGGAAATGCCTGTAGTAATTTACTTGGGTAGGCTCAGATGAAATCTAGCACAGCTTCAGCAACACAGTATTTCTTAAAGGAAAGAAAACAAATYAGTAAGCTGCCAAGGGCTCTCAGTTCTTTTCTTCTAAAAGCACATTGTCTTTATCTCAACATGGAAAGAATTGACACATTTAGGTCAGGCACAGATAATACAGTTACCTTGCTCCTTTTCTTGCTGTAGATGCAAATGTCAGGTAAGCTAAAATGGAGCAGATACATGAAACAGTCTCACTTTTATCTATTACCTGGCATCTCTAACAATTTTAAATTAGCTTATTTTTCCAGACTAAGTACAGGAGTAAATTCCAGGAGGTATTGTAAGTTTTAAGAAATATTTGGACTAAACATGTAAGCATTTCAGAATATAAAAATTGAGACACTTTTTGAAATGTTCAATTAAAACAAGAATAGTGTTTCGGTACTTGATAACTTTGCCAATAAAATTGTTAATAATTTAATTTTCATGAAATCACTGGCTAAGAAAGGTGCTACAGCTGCACCRTATCTGATGATCGTCAGACTTCAAGGAAGGTTTCTGTGTGTGCTGTGAGCTTTTCAGCATGGATTTGTTCAGATCTGGAGGAGAATGTCTTGTGCAGCTTTGAGACTTTCTGCAGGGATTATTTCTTCACTGTGACCGAAACTTTCTTCTGCAAGATAGTCTGTCTCTGAAAAGAGTGACTGTAAATCCTAGGCTTAAATCTGGAATGTGCATTTTCATTTTGATGACATTTCATTTTGACAATGTCAGATTTAAATAACAGGGAAAAAATCAATCTCTTATAAGTTGAAAGTAAATTCCAAACTAAACAGTTTGGCAGGTGAGACTCTTTCAGGTGGAAGTGTTGTAATTCCGCTAGAAATAGATACTGAAAGCAGAAAGCAAAATGCCAGTGCTGCTGAGCAGCAGAAATATTCCACCATTAGAGGTCAACATTGCTGCATGCAGAGTTGACTCAAGAGTAACTGCAGCAGCTGGAAGTCAGGCTGTTAGCTGCAAGCTGCAGGACGGGGTGGGAACACGTTTGCAGCACAGTGACCATATCCAAGATGCACAGTTAATGTGAATCCTGGTAAGGCTGGCAGCAAACTGCACTTGAGCAGTACCTGGGCAAGCATCACGGGGCCTGGGGGCTGATAAGAGATCACTGCATCTAATTTCTTTTTATTAAACCTGAATGTGGCTACTGCATCTGCCTCCAGTGCTGGTGGTGGTCAGGGGTGGTGCTGCACCATTGAGCTCATTTAGGCTACTGAAGTGAATGCCAGGGTGATCTTCATTTCATCCTGCTGTTGGTGTACCATGATTTTATAAAGAACATAGTGCAAACTACCGGCTTTGGAAGAAACACTGCGGCCAAGGATTTATAAGCTGTCATTGGCCATTATCTCTTTGAGGGCTGTTGTTAACAGACTAATAAATTCATTATGGAATAACGAACTTGATTATCACAGGCCAGCCCTGACGCGTAAGTGTCCTGAAGAACACAATTAAATACATCTATATAGGAGACTATTAGCTGGAAAAGCAGTGCTGTTTTTCTATATGAAAAAAAAGATTAATTTGTATAGTTTAAGGGTTAGAAGCTGATTTTCTTCTCTTAGAAGCTATTACTGCTCATAGCCTTCAGAGCGTGAGGTTTTCAAAATGCAGAGTGATGATGCAATTGTGCAAAACGTTGCCACCCCAAAACCTGAGGGAACAGTTGAAGGCCTATGGGAGAGGAGGAAGAAATATAATTCAGATTCCAAATGCCCAGGCACTCAACAGAGTGCTGGAGAGGCCTGGAATGAGTGTAAAATGAAGGTAAAACAGGAACATTCTACTGATCAGTTAAAAATATAAACATGCTCATGGTGAAATGCTCATGCTCATTAGCATGAATGGCAATTAATATAGCGGTTTTATCCTATGGTAGGACCTGTTCATGAAACAGTTTATGTTGTCAGTCAATAATGGGATCTTTCTGGTGCCGTTAGCTGTGCACAACGGTCATGGAGGTTCCAGGCCTGTGGGTATTAAGGTATTGGAGAAGAAGTCAAGCGGAGGTGACATCTAATCCAAAAAGCTTTTTCAAAGGGAGTCGATCTGTATTAAACTCAATGCACCCATCTGGTGCTTACTAAACAAATGTACTGATCTGCTTAACCTGTCTGCCACTGCACTTGGACTACAGGTCATATTTAATAGATTTTTGCAGTCACAAACAAACTTAGCCCAAGGATTTGCTGTCGTCCAGAAAAGAGTTTATGCTTCAGCATGAAAYGATATCCATAGTTAAATAAAAGCTCTGTTATCACTTGAGTATTAAAAGTAAAAAACATGATGTACTTTAAGGAGCGTTCAGTTAACATCACCGTGACTAACTGACAAAYAGTGTCTCAGGGCAGAACTCATTTAAATTGTTGACAGTGGCAGTAAATTATATATAGTGAAGATTACTGGCGTGCTTTATTTTTCAAGTAAAGCGAGCTGCAGAGTGTTATGGGCAAATATTTTTTTCCTTGTTTTAGAGATAGTTAACACTTAACTTGAATGAAAAGCAAATAGTCTTTAATATTTGCTGCCTGGAAACAGAGCTAGAAGAAAGGTGAAAGGCATTTGTCCACTGTGTGAAATAAAAGGTCTTAGGTAGAAATAGAGAATGTTGCCTCCTATCCGTAGTTATATGGGGAAATGGTTCAAATTTTCCCTACAGGTGCCATGAATTGCATATGTGAGAGCATGTGTTGCTGATTTATGCACATAGAGTCATTATGTCACTTATTCATGATTTAAGAATTTTATTTCTCTCTATCACAGGATGACAATTTAAATCTTTTTTCAGTTTGAATCTTTTTTTTGAAAATGTTTCAAATTCAATGAAATCATTCTACAAAAGACAGTTATTACTGCTCAGAAAAGTAACAAAAAATAGTAATGTTAATAGATGACTGCTGTTGAGGCTATTAGCTTAGTAACTTGGCTGTTATCACTAATATTGCCAGCAAAATAATTGTGCAACCCTTACGTAGGCAAAACTCCCATTAATTTTGGATTGCAAGATTGGGTTCCGTGTGGGAAAATACTCTGGTTCTGGTGAGGAGCCATCAGCTYGAGAATGGAAATTAAAATGAGGTTTCTGATTTCACTCTGGCCAAGGCCTTAGGAAGCCTCGTGCCCAAGGCTAAGGGGAATGGAAATTTTTATTAAACATGAGAGCTCAGCCCTAAGAAAGGGGTTGGAGTCGTCTGTAAGGGTGCCTGGGATCCTGGTGCTTGGGAGGAGTTTGTGCCCAGGTTGAAAGGGAGCAAAGCTCTTCAAGGTGAGGGATGAGTGATGCTGCCACCACCTTGGCAATCGGGTAAGCTCTGGTCTTAACAGTAGCAGATCTGTATCATGTTACTGTTATTTTGCCCACTAATCTTGAGGAAGAAGTAGTTTTTTCTTCCATGACAACCTGCCTGGTTTCCTTGTTGATGAAGCACGCTTATTTTTATCTCTTATGGACATCTGTCCTGTGCACGGCATCATGTTCTGCCTTCCACTTGCATAACCAGGAGAGCTCTTCTGTCAACTATCCCACTCTTATGCTGTGTTTTGACTAAGCTGCCCTCAAGCAGGAACTTAGTGAGATGTTGGAGCCAAGGCAAGGAATCCAAAAGTCCGAGTGAACATTAGCATGGCTCAAATTTACATCATGACTAAGCTCAACCTACCTGTYCTCAAGAGTGGCCCTCTTGTATTGTCGCTGGTTTATGGGTGAAGGTCTAGAGGTAGCCAAAGAAAACCATAAGCCATGTCTGGGATGGGAATTGATTCCAAAACTGTTTTTTCAGGAAGCTGTTCAGGAAACTATTTTGAATTACTAGAAAAAGGAGGTCAAAGAGAAAGCTGTAGGCCTCCAGATTGACGCTCTCAATCAAGCAAGGAAGGTTAYGGAAAAGCTTTTAATGGCAAAGTATTTAAATATTCCTCAGCAGGTCAGGAGCTGTAGCTTTCTTGTAAAGTTCCTAGACAAAAATTGCACGTCTCATAATGACCCTGTGGAGAGCCAAGTAGACAGAGAAATAGGCCTTAGGATCTCATCTCTAAGGAGCCTTGGATAGCAGCATGTCCACACTGCTGGGTTCAGCAAAAGGATATTCTTAAAGCTGAGCTAGAACTAAATACTAAGCAGAGCAACTTTCAGGGATTTAAGCATAGTCATCGTTAGGAAAAACAGTGTAATTGCTCAAAAATGGTGCTTGGTGGATTTCAGTAATTACCTGTTTTAATGCTGCTAGAACAAGAAGGTTCTCAGTGTCCTAGTTGTGTTTCCAAAATAGGAGCTGTCATTTTCTGTTTGTTTTGATTTCGAAGCTAGAGAGCTATAGAGCGCAAATATTTTTAGTGTATGCAGGATAAGAAAAACAGCTTTTCTGCGCAGTAGTGGCGTGCAGGATCAGCACATGCTTGTTGGGCAACGTGGGCTTTCAGGTGGGTTTCCTTAAACTGGATCYGAGGTGCATATAGAGCCTTCTGGGCTCCCTTGTGTTGAAAGCAATTGGTCAGACAAGCAGTTGCACTTTCTCAGCTTGCTAGAAACTAGGAGTGAGTGCTAACAAGAGATAAGGAACTGCTCCACAGAGCATGTACTCATGCTTATATTATGCATCTGTGCATAATACATCTGTACATGCCATGGATATAAATATACAAGCATATATAATGGTAGACATGACTTGTCATTTTTTTAATATGAGGACTAAAGGTTTACATGTGCATTATAAAGTGATCAAATAAACGGGTCCTTGGCTGCCTTCCCTATGCAGCCATGGCCGAGTCTGCCATGCGGCATGTCAGATTTGCAGGCAGGTTGAAGTGCATGTTTTTATTGCAAACCACCTGCAGAAGCTGATCCTTCTTTCTTAWCTTACACATGGGAATGACCTGTGGGGTGCCAGGTCGTGGCGTGCCATGAGTTTCTCAGCTGTCAAAAGAATATAATCTTTGTTGCTAGTTCTAAATAAAAGATTTGGGTGTGGGGGCAAGCCCCATTGGTAGAAGAGTTACCTTTTTGGAGGGAGCAAAGGAATTCAGAGTAGCCTTCGTCTTCCCGACTTCTGGGAGCAATGTCTGGCTCTCCTGGAAATACTGAACCTTTTTTGCTATAGTCTTTGCTATGGCCAGGTGACAAAAGATSAGCATACATGAGGAGGTTAAATATATTACAGGGCTGTAATCAAAGTATGTGATTATTCAGTGCTGCATAGGTTTTGCTGGCAGTTGTTTCAGATGCCGTTCACGCTGTAGTCACATTTTGACACGTCATACAACCATGCACAATTARTAATGCCTCTTATGCTGTACTAAGTGTGTGCTGTATAAAACACAAAGACAATGTGGATTTAATCTGTATATGAATTCTGTATGTATCTGTTAAAATAAAATCTTCCTTTTCAGGATATAGATGTAAACAGAATAGTGTAATAGGAATCTCTTGGGGCTGTGTGTGCAAATCCTTGAAATCMAGCTAGCATGCTTGGATTGTGAGCTGTTGAAGCCGTTGTGATTCACGCTGCCATATCAGTAATCTGGACGTCTGTGATCATCTCATCTAGACCCAAAAAGGGAACATGCAGGAGGTTCGGTCTGGCAGATAGTTTGTTAGCTTGTTTCTAAGCTAAAGCTTAATGGTCTGCTGGAAATAACGCTTAAACTGCACTTGGTTAGGCCCTGCAAACACTCTGAATAGGTGTGCCTTAACTCTCAATCAGCAGTGCTCATCAGAGAAGGTTGTTAAAGCCTTGCCCTGTGCCCATAGGTGTGCTAATGCAAGCTGCCAATGCCACTGCTGCTTCCCAGTCCCACTGGCTTTATGTTCTAGCTTTCTAGCTGTGCTTTCCTGTAACTAAGAGGATATGGGAGAGTTCCTCTGTCCTGATAYGTCCTGTGCTGTTAAAATCACGCTTACCCCAGCCTGGATGGCGAAATGAATAATTTATATGCAGTATGATTATATTTGTCAAAAATGAGCACACATTAGTGTGCAGCTTCCCCAGATGGATCCCAGTGCACAAGGCATTTGTAGAGAGTGTTGGCCTGTTCGGTCCCACTGCAGTCAGCAGCTTGGATTCTGATTTCCTCTGGACACTGAGACATGAAGGAAGGAAAGATCCAGGAAGATCCAAGCTCTGCTCCGAATGCTCCTGGCTGGCCGGGTGCAAATCCTGTTGCCATCTCAGTGCAGTTGCACGTTGCCCAGGCCCTGCATCATCTCAGCTGGGTTTTCCAAAGGGCCGTGGAAGTCATCGGTAGGTCACCAAAGCCAAACCTGAGAACTGTGGCTGAATAATGTAAAGCCAGTGCTGCCCTCTGCTGAAAGAAAGTCTCTTGGTTAAGTCAAATACTAGCGGTTTTAGTTGATGGAAAATATTCAAGTGACTGGTTAAAACTGTCTTGTGCAAAATGAGAGCATGTGCACTGTTCAGGTGATTTAGTTGAATCTTTGCTTTCTCTAAATGATTTAAACTTTCCTGTTTGTCAACTGCAGACCATGCATAGTTGGGTAGGGGAGGATTTGCCAGCTAGGACAACTACAGCTTCCTCAGGGCCTGGTGAAGGAAACTTGGAGGAGAAATGTAAACAGGTAGACTCAATGCAATGTGCACTAACCACACTAACCTTGCTTGCAGTCTCAGCTCAGCTGTGCAGAGAGACCTTGCYGGGAGCCTGAACCAAGTGTGTCTGTCTGTAAAATAACTTGGGCTTTGCTGTGCTTTCCTGTTAACTTTGCTCTGGTTTGCAGATTGCTTTTGTGTCTCAGGAACAACTGGGGTTTGGGGTTCTCTGCTCTGACAGGGCTGACAGTATCACGAGCCTTTTGTCAATAGAAGTTGGAGCAGTTTGCAGCCTGCTTTCACCTTGCTCAGGCACTGGCAGTTTATTCTGCCTTGTGGAYTGGAAAAGCTACAGGACCTTGCAGGAAGGTCAGGTCACTGAGCAGGCATTTCTTTAAAATCAGGGGATTTCCCAGTTAGCACTGACCTATTTGCTTAGTAAGGCCAAGCTTTTTAAAGGGGGCTTTAAAGTATTTCCACTAAGTCACAGAGGTTGCTGGGTTTTTATGAGCCCGCTGTCCACATTCAAAAATAAAATCTGCTGGAGTATCTGCGTTTCTTCAGCAGCAGATGCTGTTGGACAGCACAGGTTTTGCACTGGTGTCAGTGTGAAACCTSGGGAGCTGCTACCTGCCCGTGGAAGGAGAAGCCCATAAAGGAAGGAGAAGCCTGTAAAGGAAATAAAGAAGCTAYGTAAGAGACTCCTTTCAAATGATGAATGGCCTGATGCTGAGCCAGACCSCCTCACTGTCCTAGGCAGGCTTTGAGTTCACTGGAGCTTCATCAGCTTAAGCCAGCAGGGAATGGTCCCTTTAACCCCTGGTGATCTATTGGGTCCACACTATCCCTCACTGAAGGGAGASGGATTAGTGAGCATGAGTCACGGCAGAGGGCTCTTTAGATTGCTCCTTTTTTGAAGTTTAATATCATCAAGCATGAGCGCTGCATGGGGAATGTGTGTACACTCAGTACAGGAATCTTTCTTTGATTTTTTTTTTTTTATTTATGTCTTGAATAAGCATATTGAAACAGTAACCAAGATCTTCAGAAATGACTAGTGAGTCTGAGATTATGAAAACGTCCCCAAGTCACAAGCTGAATGGAATTAAAAGTTGTCAGAAACATCATTTCTGAAAGATGTAATTTGACTTGGTAGATTAAGTAAAYGAAACTTAGATCCAGACACACTTCATAATGATTTAACTAGCAGACAGGTGTAGGAATACCCTTCATTACAATAAAATTAGCTGCACTACATCTGAAAGGTATTGTAAAAGTGAAACTTCCCTGGTTTTTGTCATCTCAGTGAATGGGAGATCTGCTTGKTTTAGCACAAGTGTGTGTGTGTTCATTCTCTAACATCCAGGATGTGCATGACTTCATATGTAGGAATGTACTTTGGTATCACTGTCAACTTTGCATTCAGTTGCTGATTGTTGTCCTGACATCTCTTGTTTGCAGTAATGTTTTTATAGCAGATGTTGGTGGAACTTAAGTGTCTTGGATTAAACCGCACAGAGATACAAATTCCTGATGGATACCAGGCAGAGTTCCCTGCAACTCAAGTTGTAGGGAGCTTCATAGGGAACTGCAGATACACTTAATTACTGCAACTTTAAAAATACATTATTAACCATCTCCTTCGTTGAGAACAAAGAACATACAGTTAKTGCTGCAATGGTGAATTATATTTTAACCCTCTTCTAAGTTCATTTTTTGTCTTTAGGAAGTTTTGGAAAATTCCAGAAAGATTCAGATACGAATGTCTGCTATTCTTAAACCTTTATGCTGATCCAAAWTTGGAGCTCCTGCTCCTCTTATTCTGAGATAAGCTACTGCCTAGTATTCAAACACCTACCCTGGAGGTTGTTGCGTCCACAGCTGCACCCCAGTTGGAGAAGGTGGTTGCTGGTTCTTCGCCATTRCTTCCCTTTCCCGGTGGTTTTCTTGGCTTTTACAGTATCTCAGCTTAGATTCCCAACTCGGGGATGGAAAACAAAGCAGAATTGGTGCCACTCACACGGGCCGTGTGCTGCTGGAGAGGTCTGGTTAGGAACATGTGACGTTAATTCCTCTCGCAGATCTGTGCTCGGTGATTTATGCTGCTTTCATTCCCATTTGATTCCATTGGCGTAGCTGAGGGCATGTGGAGCTGCGTGTTCGCTGATGGAATTAGCGGAGATCCTGTTGTGGCAGGGGCATGAGACCCTGCCCAGGGAAATGAAGGGTGGAATTCCCAATTCCTGCTGCGGTTGCGGATTCACTTGGTGGCTTTGGGGAGTCTGATGCGTTTGCTTTGTCCTGCRTGAGAGGAAGGTCCCTCTTGCTGTCCCAGCAGAACCTCCACCTGAGCCTGGTCCTTCTGTTGCTGTAAGACCCTCCGTGGTACACTTTGCAAGGAATGGTGAGAAAGCAGATTCTGCAACAAATTTGGATCCTCAGGAAGAGGGGTCGTTGTTTAGAATCCAAAACTCTAGTCCCTTTCACACGTAAAAGGTACAGGAATAGCAAATTCTGTTCCTAGGTTCCTTTATTTTTGATTCTAGTAGTTTTGGCAGCAGCTTACTCAATGAAGCGAGTGTACAGGATGGGCACTAGCTGTGAGGAGCTGTAGGCACCTGAGAAACTTGTGTAACTGCAGAAATGCATTGCAGGCTGCAACTGTGAAGTTAGCTATGCTAACTAATATATCCTTGTGACATATTCAAAATATACTTGTCTAGTATGAGCATCTTCTTTCTAAATGAAATACCTGCATCTTTTACCATAAGGATCATTCCAAGCAAAATGTATATTCAGAGAATAAAAACTGACTGTCTTTTTATTTATTTGTCTTTCAGGCAGCACAAATAGTCCTGATTTCTCTCTTTGAACTGAACACTCCCGAGTTTACCATGTTACTTGGTGCCTTGCCAAAAACATTCCAGGACGGTGCTACCAAGCTCCTGCACAACCACCTCAAGAATTCCAGCAACACGAGTGTGGTGAGAGCCCTTGTCCCTGCAGGCAGCAGGGCCCCCGCGACAGCAGCTCGCTGATACACCTGGCAGGACTGTCCTCTTGCTTGAAACAGTATTACAGCAGAGGCTGCTGCAGGCTGTTGTTTTCATAGGGGCTGTTAAAACAAAAAGCTTGGGTATTTTTAAACTTTTATTGCCATCACAACCAATGCAGATTAAAAAAAGTAAAAAGGAGAACTTGAAAGTTGATGGGGTTGATGCTTTTAAAACTGTGCTTTTGAAAATTGTGCCAGTTGTGACCTGTGGCTAAAACGGAGCCTCTGCACTGGGAGACTTTTCTGGGCGTAACACTAATGTTGAAATTGGTCCTGGTCAATAYCTGATACGCTGCCTGTTAAGAAATTTGGAGGGTGTTTGATCTGACCTAGTAGGTGTCCTCACTCTGTAACTATTATTTAAAGTTTCTGTTTTATGTGAAACTCTGGACTATTTGTATTTCCCCGAAGGAAGGCGTTAGAGGAGAACCCAACTTTGTTTCTAAACTGTCTTTTTCCTCATAGAAGCAAGTTGGTTTTTTTTGCCTTTATGTAGAAATCCTGTAAAATTGTGTGGAATTTGAACCCAGCCATCTGAGTGCATGCTTAGAGACAAGCAGACATTTGTGTAAGCTACAATTGCACRCTAAGCTCCTAGGAACAAGGGCTGGATTCAGTCATTCCTTCCACCTTGTTCAACTTCCTCTTGTATGAAATGGTTCATAAGTGAGAATATCTTTCTGCTTGTTTTGCTGTGGTATAAATGATTATGCAGGCCAGTGGAAAATGATAAATTATATTAACTTATGCCCCTGACAAGTGCTACAGAACGCTTTAGACAATGTGGGAAATGGCTGTGTAATTAAAGTGCCAGGGTAATGATCTGCATGCTGTGGAGCATGGAGAATAGTKTTTGCGGAGCTGGATGACGTGGTAGGTTGACAAACCATTTTCCTGGCRTAACTGCAGACCATCCACACAGCCTGGTGAAGCGACAGGTCCTGTGGACAATAGAAAGACGCACATGTGCCTCGATCCTCAGAGCAGTCCCCCTGCACGGCTCTCAAAGTGCTCCCCCAAAGACATTTATACATTTTGCATCTGTGCAGTTTGAAGCCTGGGTGCAGCAAGCCCATGAACTTTGTGCCCGAGTGCTACGTGTGCCCTGAAAGGCACCTTTCTTGGGATTAAAARTATCATATAACTTCTTACTAGAAGAAAAATGAGCCCGTATTTTCTGTGATTTGCTTCTGCAGTTGCCTGCAGTTCATACTGCAGATTCTTAGGTCAAGAGCTGTCRTCAAAACTGGACTAAACTTGCCCCGGGCAAATAAAGGCAACATTTGAACCTGTTGTTGTTTGTGTTGTCCTGCTGTTTGTGTCTTGCTGCTAATCCCTGTCCTCTTTTCCCTTGCAGGGTTCCCCCAGCAATACCCTCGGTCGGACTCCTTCCCGGCACTCCAGCAGCAGAACCAGTCCCTTAACTTCACCTACCAACTGTTCCCATGGGGGCCTGTCTCCAAGGTAATGTGGCAGGAAAACTAAAGCACTAACAAAATATTAAAGTGTTTCAACATGAATGTGTATTTCCAGAATGACTCATTTTCAGAACAGATAAAGACCAAAAGTTTACAGTGATTTCTCACAACGAACAGGGCTTGAACATGATAATACATGATTACTGCTTGACTTCAGTGTTGTAGTCTTCATGTTATCTGTGTAATCTTAATTTCTCATAATATTCATTTTCTTTCACAACTAGCCCTTCTCTAGAATCACACTGCTGGGTTTAGTGGAGGCAGCATTAAATGGCGGTATTAGAAACCAAGGTGGTCTTTTAAGTTACAGACATGATGAAGATGAGGCATTCAGTTAAGAATTCCAGGTTGTGCCTATTTTGTAGGTCTGCCCTTTTTTCCCAGTAATTCATGCAGCTGAGAGCCATGATAAATCTCTGCTATTGTCCTCTTTAGCTTTGTGAAGATGCAGAGCAAGCCAAGGTCGAGATCCTGTTTCAGCCATGAAGTCTTCTTCCGCTGCCTTCTTTTTTGGTTCTTGGCAGAGCAGAGCCCTGGTCCCCACAAGAGCAAGTTCACTGCAGCCAGGCACTTTGCTGAAGCTGCAGATGCCCTTCTAGAAGATATCGATCCATTCCAAAACCTTTTATCTGAGCAGACACAGGCTCTTGGGTGTTGGGAACGTACATGTTCTGGTACCAGGAAAAAAGAGTAGGGGAGAAAAGGATTTAAATAATATGCTTTAGGGGCAAGAATTTTTTGCAGAAAGTGTTAGGTTGCTAATTGGACAAGCTTTGGTTCATGCTGGGAAAGCTTCAGAGCTACTGCTCCTTTTTTGCTGGCCCTACTTGGCATGGGAGATCATTTCCCTTTGTCACAGAGAAGGCAGAGGGAAACAAGCTGARCAAGAACTTCAGTTCATAGTCCAGTGTGATGACTTAAAGTGAAATCTGTTGATAAGCCTTGTTGTAACTTGCCAAAGCTTGTCTGGAKGGGTGCTTAGGCATATGAGTTTCCATGTGCCAGGAAAACTCTGAATTTTTAGTCTTTGGTGAGAAGTTATACAAGTTCCAGCAGCATATCAGGAACATGCGGAGTTTCCTTAGAAAATTYGGGATATTTAAATATACCTTTGTGGCCCTAAATCTATTGTAATCAAAATCTAGTCTGAGAAACTGAAAAGCAAAGTAGAGGTTTCATAGTGCAATATTTCTCAACAAAAATCTCATCAAGGAAGCAAGCAGTGGTGGAGCTTCAGGGGCAGTGCTGTAGGGCTGCCTCCTTTTCTCCTGCCTCTAGCGTGGTTGGATCTGCTGATTTCTGTCATGGGAAATTTTAAGTTGGGAGCTGTCTCCTCAGTTATGTTATGGCCTTGATGGCCACACTTGCGTGTGGCACCTGGTTTTTAAAGCGGTGACCTTTTGCTGTGCTTTTTTGGGTTTTGCCATCACGATACAACTCGTCTTTGCCACTTCTCTTGAGCTTAGCTATGGGTTCTTCTCGCCTCTTAATTTCAGGATGTGTGTATGAAAATATTGATGAAAAGCTTTCCACTTACATTTGTAATATCATTGTTGCCCTTTTCTAGAGAGTTTTTCTTCAGTGTAGTGTCCACAAGGAGTAACATGGAGAGGACATGGAGTTGCAGATTTGTCTATATATGAAGATTATATAATAGATTTGTCTATCTAGCTGTGCTTTGAAACTAGATGTGGCTGTAAATGATAAGGGACCCTTTTGCAGAGGGTGTATCCGGGCTGTGCATATAGCTCACCACTGCTTCCTTGGGAAGACCCCATTTAGCCCATATAGGCTGCGTGCCTATAGCTGAGCACAGTCAGTTGAAGGACTGTGTCCAGTCCTTAATGCCAGTCTTTGTTTTGGAGATGTCTCTTTCCTATGAGCGTATTCCTCATGCAGAGATCAGAGGGGTCGCACAGGGAGACGTGTGTCTACTGGGAATTACAGCAGTCCATAAAGAAGAGATAGTTGAAGACCAGGAATATGAAATTGCTGCCCAGTGTAGCTGTGTTGCCCTTGTACTGAGAGTGGGGGCTGTATCCTTGGCTAGCATTAGCTGCAGGCCTTTACTGATGCTGTCTTTCTCTCATAGCTGTGTAATCCATCCCATTTGGATCGTGTTGCTTCTCCCATTTTATTGCCAGCACAGTTAATTTCCTGATCTTTGTGTGTGCATTTGAGCTGTCTGGGTTGATTGGATGCTCTGCTTGACCTGGGCTTTGCTGATGCCAGTGGTTAACTCGCTGAGTGAGGTGATAGTGAATGCGCCAGTATTCCCTGATGTGAGTGTCTTCAGAAGGGTAACTTGTCCAGGGCCTTGGACAAAGCTCTTCCTCCTCCTATCATTTATTTCAGCTATTATTGCTTCATCCTGATGGTCTTGTGTTGGGGAGAGAAGAGTTGTGGAGGGAAGGTCTTTTTCTGGAAAAGAAAAGCAAGGGAGAGCACTTTGAAGGCTTGAAAAACAGTTAGAGAAATATCCTTGTGACAGAGAAAGAACATTTTCTGGACAGTGATCAGATGAATGGTTCGAGTTTGTGTTGGGCATAGAAAATTTATTAAGTGATGTAGTATAATTAAAAAAAAAAAAAAAAAAAAAAAAAAACAAAAGTGAATTCTTCCAGCCCAGAATACTATTTGATTGCAAAATGATCTGCAAACTAAAAAGTGGCAAAGGTTGTGAATTTATCTGGAATTGTTTGGGATATTTGAAGGAAGAATACCAAATAAAGGGGCTTGCTCTGCCATTTCTGCCTTTGCTGGGAGCCCAGAAACAAGTATAGTCCCTAAGTCTTTTTTAGTGCATTTCACGGCTAGATTTTAAGCAACTTAAAAAGATGATCAGTGCTACTGTGTCAAGCTGTGAAAACTGAAACTTGGATGAGAAGGACTAACAACATCAGTTAGTCATCTTCTGCTGACTAACTGCTCTGAGAAGTCACACTAAATAGCACAGCCATGCAAGTGATGGCAGAATTTGACTTGTGTTGATAAGAGAAGGCATTTCTCATTAAGAGAACACATTTTTTTGAAGATCTCTAGAGGAAATGCATCAACATAGAAACTAATTCATTTGCTCTGTAAGCCTAGGTGCTTTATTTCACTGAAAATAGGAACTGACATTAAACATAAGTTTCAATAGTTTGGTGTTAAATTGAGCAAGGAAAACATTAAAACGAGCCACCCACTTTATACAGTAAGGACAAGTCTGCATCGTTCGTTGGCTCCTTTGCAGGTAGGTGAGATCTGAGGCAGGAGACTTCAAATGAGCAGTCCTGTCTGGTGCACTGCTGTAATGGTTTTTCTAATAGCTACGTGCTCTGCTTGCTGTTTAACAGGTGAATTTCTTGACACYGCTCTTCAGATGAGTTTTCAGCTGGCCCTGCAGCTGTTTGCACTAGGGCAGTTCTTGTTTGCCATTGCTGGCCTTGCAGCATCTTTCACTTACGCACACACCACTATGACCTTCCAAGTTAGCGTGCTAAGCTTAATAGAAACAAAGAAGCATCCTGAATACTCCAGCAGCTCAAGCATCTGGATTCTCATTTAGAAGATGGTGGTGGAAATCCAGCCACATAAAGGCAACAAAATCCACATAAATCCAGCAACATAAAGGTAGCAGGACAAAAATGAAGCTTGTGCTGTGGACAAACTTGCAYAGCACTGGATGCCTTGAGCTAAAGGCACTGTGTAAAACTGTGACCTAGAAGAGCTTTGTACAACTTTGAAGTTTCACAGGGAGCTGGATTTCGTTTAGTCTTGTAAGCTTTGCCTGCTGGGCCTTTGACCAAGTTCCCCATTCACAAGATGCTTTCTACACTCTGGACTGACTTTCATTTACTACTCATTTGGGTCACTTTGAATCTGGTGGAATAGAAGTGTCTCTTAAGCCCCGTGAAGCTCAGTGCGAATTGGGGAGGGGTTGCAGGCTCTTGCTGGAGGCACCTGGTGCCAAACTTTACAAGCCGCTCTTGGGTATCTCTAGAATTCAACTCCAACCCCTTTTATCCAGGGAAATTCTGTTGCTTGCAGGTATCTGCATAGAGTGGGAATCCAGAAACACGGTCAGAGTTTGTTCAGCTAGAACGTTTTAAGAGTTGTTTGTAGAAGCTGTACTCATATATGCAATTTATTTAATAAATTAAACAAGGACAARCAGAGACTATATATATATATTTTTGTGAATGGTGTCATCATATTAGAAATAAGTAGAAATTAATAAAGACCAAAGCAATGACTTGTGGGGCTTAATGGAGTATTCCTGTTTAATTTTGTTTCTATTAAATTTTTCTCTCTCTTTCTCCAAGGCAGCATGACAGCACTAAGCCACTCAGATTATAGTTTCTTTTTTTTTCCTCCCTCTCCTTTCTCTGTTTTCTCTTTCGTTTCTCCTCCGCTCACTGCAGTCGGTTCTGGGGTTGGAGTGCAGACGGGCTGTCGAAGCACCCCCCTCCCCTTTCTCAGCCTAACTCCATCCCCACTGCTCCTTCCCACAAGACTTTCAGACGCTCTTACTCTCCCAGGTAACAAGCTACCTGTTAAACCAACTTGTCTGAGGTGTCACAGTATTATTTACCTTTCACACAACGGAATTTGTTCCAGGGGGGGTGCRAGATGTCCAGAGTGGCTGGTTGGAGAAGGCACTGGGTTGACTGTTGGGATTGCAGAGGATAGATGGCTGGCAGCTGTTGGCTCTGTTGGGAAGATGTGGCATGGAGGCAGAAAAACTCCAAGTAAACCTTTTCAGATTATTTTTCCTTGCCATATTTTGTGAACAGGTGCAAGTTTCGCAGTTGGATTCCAATGCAGAACACATTTGAGCACTTCCTGCGGGTGCTGGTTGTGTTAGGCTGGTGTGAGCAAGGTCTTTCAGCTTAAACACACTATGTAAGCTGCACATGAGTGCATTCAAATTGCTTGTATAAATGAGTTTCTAGTAACTTTATATACTTGTAATTAATATCCTTGGAAAGCTGAGATGAAACTTGCATACATGACTTTACCTGCTGCTTCCATAATATGATTGTGAAACACCATGGAAAAYTGCAATATCAAAATTAAAATGGTGATATTAAGTGCCCTGCCACAAAAGCTTTGAGAGTTATTTACTGTTGATTCTGAAATCTCTTCCTCCCTCTTTGGCCCCATGTTTTGTTCCTGTGTGTATATGGGGCTTTAATCACTAGACTAGATTAAATCTGTGTGCTATTTTTAATCAAAAAACTTCTGACTTCAAATTTAATTCATCAGCCCCATCCCCGAGTTGGCTTCCTTGGGTTTTGTATGTTTATACCTTGCCAGCAGTGTCTCCATGCATATGCTTTATTCTGACTTGCATGTGGCTGTTGCCTGCAGAAGGACTGCACTGCCTTTCCTCAAAGCAAGGATGCTGAAACAAAGCAAAACAAGTGGTTCTTCGAGGGCTTAAAATCCGAGAGCCTGTGACATTTCCAGAGACATCTGTGCACAAGTACAGGTGGAAATATTAAACTTGTATTCTGACATCTTGCTGAGAAATCCATGGAAATTTTTTTGATAAACTACTAGATATTTTTTCCTCCTTTCATTAATCCACCTTGAAGTTTGGAATTACTTGATGCGTATCCCAGCCCTGAGCCTGAAAGCAGAATTACTGTGTACTGCTTGAGGATGCTGAAACTGTTGATCACTTGCACATAGTTTGGGTTTGAAAGTCTATAATAGTTTAAGGAAATGAAATGCAWTTTTTTCTGACCAGTAAATTGCAAAATTATAGTTTGATGAACTTGTGGAGAGCTATATTATTTAAGTGCAATGTAAGATGGAAAATAATGCTGTGACATCACTAAAAGCTGCTCATCTCTACTCACTTCTTCTCCATCCTGTGACTCTCCTGGTTTTCTGCATGGATCATCATTTTCTTTTTTTCTTTTGTGAATATTCCCCCCTGGAAGGTGGGTGTAGCTCCATTGTATTTTTTCCTCTTCCTCCCCTGCCATCATGTTGTCTATGAAGTATTTTAGCACACGTACTGGCAGTAGCTGTGTGTATTTACATGTAAAAMTTTATTTTATATAAAATATAACCACAATGGGATCACTTACACAGGCTTCTTGACATACAAGACCCATAGATTCCTTAGGTTTTTATTAAATTTTGGCTTTGTGCTTTGGAAAACAAAGATTTGGTCACGTGCCCCTGCAGTTTGGTGGTTCTTTGTTCAGAACTTGCCTTAGTCCTGTAGCATGGCAGGGTCTGTACTTTGACCTCTGTTTTGGGAGCAGCGTAAAGGCAAAATCTGCCCCCGAAGAAGGCGGTGAGTATTGCAGAACGCTGTCAGTATTCCTGCAGCTCTTTATCAGTTTTGCCGTGGCTTTCCTTGGATGACCTTCGGTAAGCTGCTTCATCTCCTGGGATAGGTGTGCAGTTAAAAAAATCACACACTTSTAGACTGACTATTTCATTGCTTAAATTTTGAATGAAGAGCCTGTTGAAATCTTTGAATTAAACGTATGTGATCTCAGTGTTTCCAAGATGACATAAAGCAAAAGTTGTCCCATTCATRCTTGATATTTAACAAGGAAACTAAAAACCGCCTTTGTTTTTCTCAGGCTGGAAAGCAGTCACAGTGCATCAGTGTCACTCAGTTGCCTGAAAGGCGCTRAATATTCTGACTTGTGCAGATTTATAAACAACTCTTCTTTCTTGGTCTTGTTCAAGTGGTTTCTTTTTCTTCCCAACTAGGCCCTGCCTGGGACTTGTTCTCTGGTTTCTTTGCCAGAATACAGTGTGCTGATGCTTGCGTGTTTGAAGAGCAAGCGTCTTGCTTGGAAGCCAGGGTTAAGGCTATTTCCAGTATGTGTTAATCCCAGCAGAATCAGGCAGCAAGAGTCTTATCCTTTATCTGAAGTTGTTGGGTCCAGAAAAGATCATGGTTCTAGRTAATGAATTAGCTACCTCTGGTTCTACTGAAAATAATATCAGTGTACTCAGGATTGAAAACATATTTTCTCTTCTTGATTCCTTGACACATCCACCTCATAGGGAATCTTTCCTTTGTGGAAAATGAACAGAGCTTTTTGTCAGAGCTATCGTCTTCCAAGCCCATCCCGTCATCCTTCCCAAACTGTTAAGAAATGGTAATTCACCCCTGTAGGGAGCCACTTCTTGCCATTTATTGACAAACAACATGATGTAAATGTCTTAAATTCCTTTGGTTTAATTGCTTTTGGCTCTCTTAAAGATCCTAGGCTCCCCAGAGAAATTGTTCTCAGTCACTGGGTCTCTTCATAACAATCYGTCGTGGAAAACTGCCTTAGTCATGCAACCTTAACTTGTATACAGCAGGCCTGCCAATAATGCCTTTTATTTTCTACGAGTGTGTTGGAGTTTATCTTCCTAGTCACCTCTTTTCTATCATCTGATCTTACATTCCCCTCCCCCCCCCTTTTTTTTTGTGGAATTTCATTTTGGATAACTCACTAAGGAAGCCCAAAACACGAGTGCCTCTACATTGCCGAGGAATTTCTAACCATCTGGCTGCAAGAAAGATTCGTGTGAGATTTCCCAAACTTCGGTGCAATACTAAAATGCTTCTATTATCAAGGCATCATGCGAGTTGTTCTGTTTTTCCTGTTCTGTGAATGAAAACTGGATTAAGTTAGATTGAGCTTTATGTCAAGATACATTTATCTTTCCATCTAGATCTCGCATGATCTGTTGAATCTGTAGAATATATTTGACACATTATGAAACTAGAAGCTAAATTTCATTGATTTTATTTCTACCAGYTGTTGCAACTCTTCGAGTTCAAATTCATTTATGTATTTATATACTTAGATGTATATACATACATATACACACACATATATTTGTATATGTACTTTTTCCTTTTCAATAATACCATGCTGAGCATAGGTTTCCAGTGTACAGAAGCTAAGACACTTGCTACTGTGGAATATGACAAATCCCAGGCCTGATTTCCCCTCACTGACAGCAGTATAACTGCACTGATTTTAGTGGAGCTTCTCCTAGATTTACTCTGAGCTGAGTAGAGATTCAGACCTGAAGTCTGCTTGGATTCCATCCATACGTTGTAACAAGTCACCATTGGAAATGGTTCGCCAAATCATCTGTTTCCAACTTGGCATTGTCTTTGTTGAAAGTTAGGAGTTGTTTCCAATTTCATCTGTAACATTTCATATGCGTTTGGTCTTTAGTATGCTGGATTATGACACGGAGAACCTAAATTCTGATGAAATCTACAGCTCTCTTCGTGGAGTCACAGAAGCAATTGAAAAATTTAGTTTCCGTAGTCAAGAGGACCTGAATGAGCCAATCAAACGGGATGGGAAGAAAGACTGTGATATTGTAAGTATTTGATTAATGTCTGGGGAGAGGTGAAATTTCAAAGCACTGCTTTTAAATCTGCCTTTGATTTGTTAATTAATGTCCTAAGTCCAAATACTCATTGTTGTGCTTTTCATTCTCTTGCAAATGCCTTTTGCTTGTTGGTTACTTGCTTAACTCTGAATTACTGGGTCCCAGATCTGTAGTCTCCTGCTCACCTGGAACTCTGTTTGATTTCCTGTGAAATGTGCTCTGAATGAGAGTCTCCCGTATGGAGAAATCAGTGTTAATGTTCCTCGGTCTCCGTGTTGCTCAGTGATGGCTTTTTCATAGAATGGATGTAGTCAGATCTGTAATGGGAAAGGTTATTAAAATGCAMATCTGGTTTACACTGCATGCTTGTAGCTCATACGTAGGAGGCCCACTTTGAGAGCCTGACTGTTTTGGTACTTCGTGCTTTGTGAGTGGTCACAGTTATCTGCCATGGGAGATGCCATTTCTTTTAATGAAATATGTGAACCTCAGAATTTACAAGGATCAGGAGAATATTGTTTCTTGTCTCCTGCCTGGACAAACACAAGTTTATGTTAGCAGATTAATTTGTCCTTCAAAGCTACAAGATCTTTAATGGTCCAAGATGACTTTGGGCTTCGGTTTGCCAGCCTGCTTTAGCAGTGCAGATGTGAGGTTTTGTGAAAGACTTACTGCTTTTTTTCCCTTTCCCTTTAAAAGAAGCCTCCTTTCACCTACTGCTCTGGCAATTTCCTTAGTTCCTTATTCCTGTGGTAATTTCTGGTCTTGTCCTGGAGCTAATTTACAACTTGTGACACCCTGTGCAATTTCATAATACTCAATTTAGGAATCTTGTGTTGTCGTGTTGTCCCTAAGCTTGTGTAAGATATTTTTTTGAAACTGTAGTGTTTATGTGAGTCAGGGAAAGAAGTAATTAGGTATATGTAAAGGATTTTAGGCAAAATTCAGTTGTTAATGGGAGGATGGACTTCTAAATGTTAGAACTCCCACTAAGTTGAAATAATCTCCTGCCTTTTCTGTCTGCTTGCATCTCCAGGTGTCTCGAGACGGTGGCCTCGCGGTGCCTTCTGGTGACGTCCGCGGCAGCAGTGATGTTGTGGAAGGGGGAAGGATGGCCCTAGATAACAAAACCTCYCTTCTTAATACTCAGCCTCCCCGCGCATTTTCAGGGCCCCGTGCTCGAGAGTACAACCCCTACCCCTATTCCGACACGATTAATACTTACGACAAGACTGCCCTGAAGGAAGCGGTGTTTGATGACGACATGGATCAGCTTCGGGATGGTTGGTATCTCCAGCTTGTAGAACTGCAGGCGGCTTGTTCTGCTCTGTGTGTGTTTGCGTACGTGCGGCGCTCTTGGTCTGCGTAAGGAGACGCTGGGTTGTGCCCTGCACCTGAGACAGGGCTCGGCACCAAAYGCTCTGTGTTCTCGTGCGACAGCTGAACCTGATACGGGACTATTGAGAAGATGTTTTACTGCAATATGTGTGCTTTGGCATAAAATTTTTATCAGACTGCTCAAAGCTTTAAGAGTTTAAATTAAATGAGTCTTCAGGGACTCTGTTTTGTAGACCTTATCTTCTTTAAGACTGTAACCACTTGCTTGGTCCATAACTTCAGTGTTTCGCTGTATGGAAATGATGCTGCATCTTCACTCTATTCCTACTGATGTAGGAATACTGTAGTAAGGGTCATACTTTGGGTGTGTAAGTCTAGGATAAATTCTGGCAATTCTCATCTTAGAAGAATTAGTTTTTGGAATTGGATGAAATTCAATCATCGTTTCTTCCTGGTTCGTTAGAAGCCATGTAGATTCATGAGCTGTGAGATGAACTTGGGTGAAATTGTGAACTAGTCAGATCCTCTTTCTTGCTTGATTGAAGCCACCTGGGATTTGCTGCCTTTTGGAGGTGGGGGGCCAGGGCTGATGTTACATGCACTTTGTTCTGTACAGAGTTAGTAATCTTGCTGTCTTTGATCTTTCCCTCATTTCCCCAAATGACTTGGTGTTGTTTGCCCTAGAAGTACCCATTGACCATTCTGATTTGGTGGCTGATCTTCTGAAAGAGCTGTCTAACCACAACGAGCGGGTGGAGGAGCGGAAAGGAGCCCTCCTGGAACTGCTGAAGATCACGCGTGAGGATAATCTTGGAGTCTGGGAGGAACATTTCAAAACCATTCTGCTTTTGTTGCTGGAAACACTTGGAGACAAAGATGTGAGATGTAGACTTTTGTCTTGACTGTCCATTGCTTCATTTGGGGTGACAGTTTCTCCACATTAAATCTGTTGTGTTTGTATTGCTTGTGACTACCTCAGCATTTCATCAGTGCTCTTGCGCTGCTCCAGTTTTCTCGGGGAGGTTGTTGACTCCGCTTTCATTGTCAGCGTCAAATGATGAATTTCAGRCTCCTCTGAAGTGCACTATTTTTTTTTCTTCTCCCTCCTGATACTTTAATAACAAGTAGTTATGAAATTGAGCTCAAATGAGAAAGGAAATCTTGGAAATTGGTATTAGTTGACCAAAGTAGGAATTGACAGGCTAAGCTTTTGCTTTGGCTTGTCGGGCTGCTGCTTCAGCCTGCAGCACAGTGACATTCACCAAGACTGAGCACCCTCTCTGTTCCTTCAAGTGACAGTCATGCTGTATCTGAATGTTTAGCTCATTTAGGTTTAAAAGCACTCACAGGTGTTTTTCTTTGGATCCTAAATCAGCTGTGTGCTGCTTACACTCCTTGTGAAGCATATKGCAGTCTTGAAAACGTGTGTTTAATTCTGGGATAGTGTAGGTGGGTCAGTCACTGTTGTAGTGTAAGCATGAGCTGCTGTAGTGTCCTATATGTATATTACAGTGTCATCATAGATGTACAAAAAGATATGGTGGCTTTAAGTAGAAATGAAAGGCTCAGTATAGAGGAAGAGAAGTATTCCTCTGTTGAAATAATAGAGGATATTTGGAATGGCCCCAATCCAAAACCCTTACCATAACAGTTATAAAAATGAAGCARGTGCTGTAAATACCTTCTGCTAATGATCTTTTGATATGAAGGATTAACACTCAGCTCAGAGCGACTACAATGACTGACTGTTCTTGAAAATAATTTCCATAAGGCTTACAGGAACATCCGTATGTGAGAAGCAGTTTTGACTCTTGCACAGTTGGAGCTCAGTTTGATGGCTGCAAAACTAAACAAAAGAAGAAAGAGCAAAACAAATAAAATCTGAGCTTCTTTGTACATTCATGTAATGCAGGCATGCTACTTGTACTTCATTATCAAAAAAAAAAAAAAATAAAAAAAAAAAAAAAAAAAAAAAAAAAAAGAATGAAAAGAAAAAAAATCCTGATCTGATTTTTTTCTATATCTGTGAGGATAGTCATTTTATGTGAATTTCTGTGCAGTAGATGCCAGGGAGACCAACTCAGTTTTCAGTGCATCGATTACTCTGCTGTACCAACTCTAGCAGAATAATGTAGGACTTCTAGTGAGGCAGAGAGTCATCAGAATTTACTTCAAACTAGAATTTTGAGAAATGGTATCTAATGTGGCTTTCTCTTGACACAGCATTCAATAAGAGCCCTGGCACTGAGGGTCCTGAGGGAGATCTTACGGAATCAGCCAGCCAGGTTCAAGAACTATGCTGAGTTGACCATCATGAAAACCCTGGAAGCGCATAAGGATTCCCACAAGGAGGTGAGTGAACCTTGCAGTGTTACTACTGAGAAAGCAGCAAGGACCTACCAAAGAAATGGGAGGTTTAATGAGTAAATACGTTGACCGGTCCTCACAGCAGAACAGTTTAGCATGAAAGTCTTCCCAAGTCTGCAGGGACAAGAGTTGTGCTTGCTGGAGAAAGAAATTTTGAGACTGAAACAACTCTGGGTGCATTAAGAGCCATCTAAGGTTATAGGCTGTCTTTATTTATCAATTCGTGATGTTTCGTTTATTTGGGAATAGGATGAGGCCCAGGAATATGTGCATGTTTAAGTTTGTGGAGGACATTGTGGAATATAATGCCTGCATCTCTACAAGCAAGGGAATGCTGGTGAACACCAAACTAGTATACAAGTCAAACTGAGAAAAGAGAAGGATGAAGTAGGACCATGCTGGAGAACTGGTGGATAGCAACAAAAAATGGACAAAAAAGGCATTCTGCTGAGAAGAGGAAAATTGGGCAGAAAGGGAGAGGCAAAGGGAAGAATGTCTTGCTTTTTGTGCTGTAAAAGAATTTAACCTTGTAAAATCCAAATGAAGCTATTTGAGTGCAGTAAAATAGAAAGAAAAGGACATCATAATTACTKTTGAAGTTGCAGACAACTTTGTAGATTGGCTTCCAACCTAGATAATTTCTTCTACCTTCTGCATGTTGCAAGTTTGAACTGGATCCCAGGAAGTGGGGTGTGAATTCCTGTATATTTCTGTGATGGCTTTTTTTACCAAAATCTTTCCTTTGAAATCTAAGATGCTTAAGTCTTCTCTGCAAAGGGAAAAGGCCTTGTACTTAAATGGCAATTTTAGGCATTTCTGGTTAGCTTTTTCCATTAAAAAGATTGCTGTAGTCCAACTGCCCTTGAGTGCTGCATAACTGACAAAGCTGCATTGGTGGTGCATAGCAGTAGTATTTTAAAAAATAAAAATAACAACTAAAACACCAACAGGGAAGAAAGAACGGAACAGGATGGATATCCCTAAAATGCAAAGGTGGAAAACATTTAAGCCTTCAGTTTTTGAGGACTGGCCTACTCTGTCTACCCTTCTTTCTCAGCTTCAGAGATTTTGCACTCCTGTCACTCTCAGTTCAGGGTAATAAGATGCAGTTGTAAATTGATTTCCTGATAAAGCAGTCAGACAAAACATTATGTTCTGAAGGAGTGCCTTTTATTGGCAGGTTTTCCTGGTTGCATTCTTCTCAGCTCACCTTGACTTAATGCCCTTTTTATTTATTTATTTTTCTGAAAGTTCTCCAGGTTCTCCAGAGCTGCCTTTTCTAACAGCCTTTTGAGCTTATCACCAACTTTGGTTTTAATCCTCCTCAGAGCTCAGATTCCTCATATGTGACAGATTTTTACAGAAATTAATTAAGTGTAAGGCTGAAACATGACATTCACTGCCCTTTATGCCACCCCTTGCTCCTTCCCGGCTGTGTTCTTCATGCCCAGGGTATGGAAAGGATCTTCAGGTTTTGCAAGCGAAATTCSTGCCTAGGAGAAGCAGCAATGAGTAAGGTATTATTGCAACACAGACAGCAAAAGCCAAGCTAGGAGTGAAGATAYATGTAGGATTTGTTTTGTTATACAAGGGAAAATCTGAGCACTTTTCCTCTCAGCATATAGCTACTATTGTCTATCACATGCATTTGATACATGAGGCTGCACAAGTGTACAGAAATTTACTGATAGGAGAATGTRAGTTGCATCTTTTTTGCTTTTACCCAAGTTTCTCCTTCAGCTTAGGGATTGCTGATTGTGTTAAGTTGTTGTTCCTGTTTTTTGATGACTGTTGGCCCAYGGAGGAGTACTGTAAAGTGACCAAGCAAAGAGGAAAGAGTTGGAAAGGTATAGAATTGTTAATCTTGTGCACTGTCTCCAAGAAGTCAGCAAAATAAAAAGAGGCAGTTTGTTGGGAATGAAAAAGAGGGTTCATATATGTTCCCCAGTTCTGATATGTTGTTCAAGAAGGCCTGGAAGGGCTAAATAACACATTAGGACCAACATAGAGCTCACTCTTCCATTTGATTGCCAGTGTATGGTTAAAGATTCAGTCTGAAATAGGAAAGAATTTTTATTCTCTTCCTGGTTCCAGACAGTATAACTAAAGGCATCAAAAACAGTATCAGCATAGTTGAACATCTCTGGATGCCTGGGTAATTGGGTGGGTGGTTGTGCATGTTTGCTTGGTTTTTACATGCAGAGTTAGGTCTTTGCACAACTAGATCTTTGCCACTGCCAGAGCTCTTCCTGTCTTCCATTCCTGAGGACGAGGCTCCGGAGCAGCCCAGGCAGCACTGCTCTGCTCCTTGCTCTTCCCACGCTGTGGGACAGGAAACCCTGGCAAAGGGAGCTGGGTGGCAGTGACGRGTCACACCTTGCTGTGGGTGCAGATGCAGGAGGATGACAGAGCCTAGACCTCAGCCTTGGTCTCGCAGTTAACATAACACTGGGCCACAGCTGGAAGCCTTCACCGTGGGATCCACGTTTCATTTACTTGTTTCTCCCCCCTAATATCAGCCTGTATTTATGCTATTTGTAGTGTAACAGCCTATTCAACGCTGTTGATTTAATGAAGGGATGTGAAGAGTCAAGCCTGTTTCAGTCGTAATTGTAAATATTTATGGGGGTTGACGTGTAAAGGCTTTTCACTTACTTTTGGAGCGTTAGAACGTAATTGAAGTTGTAGATGATATTAAATCTTGCTGATTTTTATCACTCTTTGTTTGCAATTATTTGGAAGAGAACCATCCTTCTGTTACCAATTAGTTAATATTAAACTTATTTGTTCCAGTAGAGTTACTCACTCATAACTAAGGAGAGATGCTGTCTGCTGACCCAATACTATTGACATGACATTGCTGCAGATGCATACCAGCAAAATGAGTGTGAGCTTTTTAATGAGTAGCAAAACAGAAATAGTTATCTTGGAAAAATGTCACAAAACATCTTTACCAGTGAAAATTGGAGGATAGCTAATTTTCTAATTCTGTTTTTCTTTGCAGCTAAGTCTATGAATGTGTTTGAGTATTTTCCTTGTTTAAGGAGTGCGTATTACGTCATGACTTAATAAAAGATGAAAATTATATATTTATTCAGAGATCTTATAAGCATGATTGGAATAGATCAWTCCCTCTATAAGAGGATGAATAAGAACAAATTACAGCTATTCATTAACTGTAAATAAGTAAATAACGTGGAGGTGCTTTAGACTGGCTGCTGGCACTAATAAGATAAAATGCCCTCCAGTGAGGTGCCTGTTCTTGTAAAGTGCAGCTGATTTAAAAAGAAGCTCTAAATGATCTGTTTTTTAATTGATATTTAGTACACACTGGAAGCTGTCAAGTACTGTAGCTTGGCAGCTGTTGGTGTTTACTTGTCTTTTATATAATTCTTGACATGTTTGAATTGTTTAGTACACAGGAAAACAATCTGAGTTAATCTCCTTTGAATCCTTTATAGAAGTCATATTGTTTTTCATCTGCTTAGCACTCCCCATTGCTCTGAGTCTACTTCCTGCTCAGAAACCCAATTCTTAGTTGTTTGTTCCCGCCTGGATCAGGCCATAAATGCTTCGGGGATGGGAGCTTGTCTGCCTGCCTCGCTGGGATAAACCTCCATCCCCTCCAGCTTAATTATACAGGTTTAAAGTAACCACCTCTAGATGGCAAAAGCTGGCTCAGAAATATAACTGGGTGCCTTGTAAGCCCTGGAGCAAAACCCTTGTTGTTTTGCTCAGTAAACTTCACTGGCATTCTGMATGTTTCACAATCAAGTACAGAGCCTCCAAGTTTTTAATGTTCTTTTTTTACACTGCTAAATTTCCTCCAGCTTTCTGGAGGGACGGTGCAATTAGCAACTGAGGCAGAGAATTACACCTTCCAGTCCTGTATAAACTCCCCAGGACATACAGACACTGCACTGCTAAGATCCAAACACCAGTGACCGTGTCCTGTGCAGTCGGTGAAGCTTGGATATTCTGTCTTAGATCRTAGAGTCCTTAAGGTTGGAAGGCACCTTTGGTTGGAAGGGAGAGAGCCTCTAGTCCAGCCTCCTGCACACACAGGGTCACCTAGAGCACGTGGCACAGGGCTGTGTAATATCCCCAGAGAAGGAGACTCCACAGCCTCCCTGGGCAGCCTGTTCCAGGGCTCTGTCACCCTCTGTTGAGAAATTTTTCCTTAAGTTCCCATGGAGCTTTTGGTGCTTCAGTTTGTGACTGTTTCCTCTAATTCTCTTGGTGGCCACCACTGAAAAGAGGCCGGTCCCATGCTCGTCACTGCCTCTATCGAGCTATTTATGTACATATATATGTTGGACATGTAGGCTTTCTACCTGCTCTATATTTCTCTGGATCCATGCAGATGAAAATGAGTTGTTTCTCAAAGCAAATGGGGAGGATGCTCACTGGAAAGGTTTAATGTGTGGCAGAGCTCTTTCAAGGAACTCAGCTTATGTTGTGCCAGCAGAAGTCAGGCTGAATCTGGTCTCTAGAATGTAGCATAAGGTAAGCATGCAGAAAGGAGAAAAACCTGCTGCTTTAAAGTGAAATGCTATCTCATAGATCTGCATTCCTGGACTACCTGCCCTTTGAATGGCATCAAACTATCCAGTTYATACCATGGCTTGCTGCAAGCTTTTACGTTTGTGGCAGACCCTATGCATAGCCTATAGTGTCATTGTTTTTAAAACCCTGCATGCTGCCTCCAGTCTTGCAGATCCACCCTTTCGAGCCTCCTCCTCCTAGATGTCATCATTGCTTGACGACTCTGTTGTTTTCTGTGCTATTTTTGATCCATTTAGTATCTGTGTTGTCTTGTGACAATCCCCAGTCTGAACACGCAGTAAAGAGCAAACCCCTTTTTCTGGAATTTAAAGGGTGCCATTTCATAGCCAGCAACTCCTGTGGTGTCTGCAGTTGGTTTGAGCTGAATGGGGCCATTCCTGTTGCTTCCTGGTGTGTATCTGTAGATCTCCCCTCCGAAGATAGGAGGGAGGAAGAACTTTTACTTGATGCTGTTTGCTCATTTCTCCTGCTTTGGAGATTGTTGATGATTTGATTCAWCTGATCAGGTCAAATTCCTGATTTAAGAAAGGATTTTTTGCCATTGCATGTATGCTCAGCAAGACATAAGTGTTGTTCCTCACAGCAAGGTATCTTCACTAAGCTGGGCTGTAATTGCATACCCAGTTGCCAAATGACCCGGCAGTTTGTCTCCTGATAACACACTTCCCGCTCTGCGGGAACACTGATCCCTCTGGCACTGCTGGCGAGTGTGACAGAGAGCAGCACGTAAGTACTCGGAGCTCTTTTCTCCCTCATGGGTGCCAAGTCTGGGTGGCAAAGTGCTTTGTTCTCCCAAAGTCAGAAGGAAAAACGTTCTGGACACAGCTGTTAGTGGAAATGCAGAGCGGCTGCGTTTCAGCTCTCTGTGCTAGTGGAGGCACACGAGGGCAGAGCTGGTCCCGTTGGCTTCAGCTGCTGCTCCTGCCCCAGCCCGTCCTCCCTGCTGTCCCCCGTGGATCCTTTCCAGCGGAGCAGGGAGCCGGTTACCTGCGGAGCCTCCGGTTCGAGCAAACGTGTAAGCACATGCCTGAACCCCATTGACGTCAGCAAGACTAAGCATGTTGTTAAATATATGCTTAAGGGGCTTGCTGAAGTGTGGGTTATATGGAGATGCTGTCTGCCAGATGTGCKCTCACAAGATTTGGAAATCGCCCTAGTGTTGTCACATTTACAAGTAAGTACCAGCAGGAAGCCTACTGGACATGTAGTGCATTGAGAAGACATGTGTTTCCTGGTGAAGTGAGCTAAGAACTCAACTGCCCCACAAATGCAGCCAGATCCTTGCTGGAAAGAGGCAGGTTTGGGGAAAGCAGGACTTGCATGGGCACAAGGAGCGGTATAACAGACTTTTGAAGGTTTCCTAATGCACTTGCCTCATACCTGCAACAAATGTTCATGCAAATCTGTAATGCAAATGGGATATAGGGCTAAAGCCCAGCTAGGATTGCTTGTTGACACTTTCAGCTATGCTAAATTGGCAGGTGTGTATTTGAGATCAGAATCTGTTCTGAAGAGCATGCTAAAATGCTGAGACTTCCTTATTGAGCAGTGTATCAGGAGGATTTAAAAAATGTCTAGTATTACGTTGTGATATATGTTCAAGCTTTTCTTAGGATGTCTGAAAACATAAACAGTATTTGGAATGGTAGCGAAGCAGAATCACAAGTGGCCTGTATCCAAATAGTTATATTTTTGTTTCATTTTTTAWTTTGAAATAACTTTCCCGTGAACTACAAGTTTTCTGGAGCCTCTTGTAATTCCATTACATTGTTTTGAAGAAAGCTTGATGGTAGCGGTCTTTCAGCACTGGGAAAGGGGATGTCAAAAGCTGCTGTGCCAAGTAAATTCCTTTAAAAGAAACCTCCTCAGATTCAATAGAGACCTCCTGGGATGTCCTGACTTTATCCATGCCAACAATTCAATGCCCTGGTACCAAACTATGGCATTAGATTTCCTTAAGTACTTGGAAGTTTCCCTCTTTCGCAGAAAATCACACATTATTTCCTCTTAAGCTCATACTGGCTAATCTGTAAAAATGTTAACTTTTATGGTTCTTGTGTGAAATTGAAGAGGAACTAGCAAAGAGACAGCTGGAAGAGGCAAAACGAGTGTTCTGTACTGATTCACAGATCTCTCAAGATGATATATTTTGAATACTGACTGTCTAGTGGGTTGTGTTTTTTTTTAATTTACTTTTTGGGAAGAAGTCTTTAGCACTGGACTAATTGCCAAGAAAACTGAGGTAGCTGGTGCAGTTGACAGCTTTTTTCCTGTACAAAGGACACTGCTGCAGAAATTCTCCAGGTTTCTTGGCTCTGCTTCACAGTCCTGCCTGTACCCTGCCCACATGCAGTGGTCCTGCTGCATGAGGTGTCAGGGGCAGCGTTCAGTGTCAGGTTTGCTTTAGCAGATTCTGGGTGAGCTTTGTTATTTCTCTGGTGTTCAAGGATGTTGCCGCTGCACCTGTGTCAGGCCACCGTTGACACGAGTGAAAGATTCTTGTGTGGTAGTCACAATGAACTGTGGACATGGGTAGGGCCCACTGCATAGGTAGAGACACCCTCTTCTGCTGGAGCAGTAGTCTCAGCTGGCAGCTCTTCACCGTGTCTATCTGCAGATCTGTTGGGTGCTTCTCCCCTGCCCCTATAGATTTGGATAGATTTCCTAGTGCTGGATTCAAAGTATTCCTTACCACTGTCTTCTTGGAATKAATATATTTCTGGAGGCAAAGGGCATGAATTCTCCGAGTTGATTTCTTCTCAATAGAGCYGCCTGTGGATCCACTACTGAACATCCTGATATTTCCTGGCAGTCCTTCCTAGTTTGCCTGTGAACTCATTAATGTAAGGTTTTGTTCTGCTTTCATTCCAGGTGGTCAGAGCTGCTGAGGAAGCTGCTTCTACCCTGGCCAGTTCGATCCACCCGGAGCAGTGCATCAAAGTGCTTTGCCCCATCATTCAAACTGCAGATTACCCAATTAATTTAGCTGCCATCAAAATGCAGACAAAAGTCATCGAGAGGATTTCTAAGGAATCATTGCATCAGCTCCTTCCTGATATTATTCCTGGATTGTTGCAGGTACAGAAGCCCATGTCCCACAAGCTCCCAAGCACAAAGCATATTTTGTCCTCTGTAATATAAGCTGTGTAACCTGAGAAAATGAGGGACCCTTTGGGGTCAGATTCTAGTAAATTAAAGTTTTAATCCCTTTGAGTTTTTAATATCTTTGACCTTTTGATGTTGTTTTAATATATTGAGGAGGACAGGAAAACTCAGATTCCTGTGTTTGTGTGTTGCACAGTTAAATGCCTTGGCCTGGCTCCTTAAGGAGTCAGTAGCAGCCATGCAATAAACTCACTGAGTGGCAATTAGCCACCTCTTGTGCAATGGCAGCACATCCCGAGCAGCACATCTTGCAGTCTGCCTTCCTTCTGCTGAGCTGTTCTTCATTTTGATGGTATTTTGCATTTGAATCCCAGCAGGCTGGATAAGTCCTCCTCCTCCTCTGAAATCAGGGGACCGAATTTCTGACTTGCATTCAGCCTCTTTCACAACCCTCCCCAGCTGGGTGGGGAGCTTTATTTTCGCCAGTGCAAAGGCTCGGCTGGCACTGTGAGCGCAGCGCTCCGTGCTCGCTGTGCTGCGGTTGGGTTCTGTGCCCCTGCACAGGCAGCTGGCAGCGTCTGGGCTGGAAGAAGGCTAGAAGCAAGATGGAAATTAGGCAGCAGCAAGAAGAGAGGAGAAGGAATATGTGTGTGTGTTAGTTTATTGGGGAGGGAATATGACAGGAACAAGTAGGTTTGAAGAGGGTGGCATGTTTGATGGGTAGGGCTTCACTGGAGAACTGGGATAAAGAAACCGCTTTATAGGAAGCATAACAAGCTGGAGGACCAGAGCAGAAAGTCAGAAATTCCTCTTGTGCGTCCCAGCATTTTTTTCCAACTTTGTAATGTCAGCTCTTGCAATTCWGTTTTTAAATCCCAGCATCTGGGGATCAGGCAATTCTGCATTGATCTTCACTTTCATTGTTGAAAGGCTTTAGCTGTACTTCTGGGGAATTAGATCTGGACCATCTCAGTGTTCCAGAAAGGTTCTGGAGCAGCAAGCCTTGGAGAAGAGCACAGTTGTATTCATTTTATTAAATTGCTTCTCTAAAGGCCTGTTTTGGAGGCTAGTTTCTGACTTCTCAGAGTTGCTGCTGATTGCTTCCATTACTTAGAAAATCCTGGTGATTACGTGAATCTTCTACTGCTGTTGGTAACGTGCTTCAGGCTGTAAGATTGCAGAGCAAAACCACGTGTGTAGTTTGCCTTGGCCAGCGAGCACTGGAGTGGTATGGAAGGTGAGAAGTGTCAGCTAGTGGTAGCGTTTCCCCCTATATCCTCTTCTGTTTCCATGTCTACATCTCGTGCAGGTGAAGGCAAACCCAGTCCCAGTTTTTCCGCGGTGGYTGCAGTGCTGGCTGTGGCAGTGACGGCCCTTGGGGCCTGCGCAGGCTGCGGTGCCGCCCGCACCTCCTGCCCCGCAGGCCCCGCTCGCTGAGCAGGAAGCGCCGCGGCCCTGGGGCAGGCGAGAGGAGGCCGGGCTGTGTTACCCAGGCCTCGAGTGCAGCACGAGGGCAGGGAGCGGGCTCGGGGTGGCCTGCGCTAGGGCTGTGCTGGTGTGCAGGTGCTGCAGAAAGAATGAGAAGCCCCAACGCCCTGTGCTGTGTTGACCAGGGTTTCTCATGACAGGGGCCATTGTTTCCAGGGCTGCCTGCAGAAATGCGTGGGTGCAATTGGCAGTGTATAATGGATGGTCCCTGATGGTCCCAGCCTCTCCTGCCCAAAAGCCAGGCCCTGAGGATGCAGCAGAGCTGGGAGTCCCATGGGGCACAGTAGAGGAATGGAGCTATCGAGCGCGCTGGGTGCCTGTGTGGCAGAAGTCACCTCCTGCAGTGGGGAAGAGTTGTCCTGTCCTGCGTGCAACGCAGAGGAGCCGCGACGCCACGCGGCGCCGTCAGGCCACGCTGGGAGGCTGCGGCAGCGCCTCTGACTCAGCCTCGTGCCTGTGGCCGGAGGGGCAGCGAAGGCTCCCTTGGCCTCGGGCAACTTGTTTGTCCCACGCCCCTCTGACTGACGCATGTGGGAAGCTCTCGATCTTTTCCAAATGGCACTGGAGCCTTTCGCCGCTCGCGCTCTGCTGTCTCCCACCGGCATGGGGAAGCAGCGGGAGTTGCTTAACAGGAGACAGAGTCAAGCAGGCCCTGGCACGATGGAGCCCTGCTTTAGCCTTAGGCAAGCATCGGGTGACCGCYGTGGAGCCCGCCTTGCCTCTGCACAGAGTGACGCCCCATGGTGAGCCCTGGCCGTCTCACTGGGACCCACATCCCCAGGGCTTCACCCCGCACCCAAGGAAGCGGCATTCCGCAAGCCGGAGCCCTTGGGGGATTTCCCATGGGATGGCGCCTTGCGAGACATCACTGCCCGAGCACGGAAACGGTGTCGTGGGCTGTCGAGCGCCCTGGGGGCTGCTCTGCTGAGCTCTCCCTGGTGGCTGGCACACACCCCCTGCGGCCTTCCACGCTCTTTCCCGTGGTTGTTGCTGCCCCATAGGTAATCGGGGCAGTCTGTGGCTGCAGAAGTTTATAGTGGACCAACACACATGCACAGCACTGCTATGTAGTGCTTATGCATGGCCGTAAAAGGCTAAAAATCTGTTATAATGATGACTTTTTGTTATTTCTTATGCTATTTCATAACTTGCTATTATCATGCTATACCGTCCAAGGCGCACATTGCACTCACAAGCCAAACTTTTAGCTGTATGTGCTGAGAGAACTAGCCATTAGGTCCTTTTGCTATGAAATTATTCTCCATCTGTAGCTTTGCTCTCAGGAGTGGTCAGCTTCCAACATGTGAGTTGGCTTCCACTGAGTTGTATTTGGGTCAGGAAAGACTCTTTCCTGAAGACAAGCTGAGAGCAGTGGGAAGTATCACCTGGGCATGAAGCAAGAAACATCAGTAGGGCTGTTGTAGGCCTTTAAGGAGTGGATAACCTGCTGGATCATCCTGCTGCTTTTCAGCTTTCAAAGGGCTACATGTTTGTTCAAAATAATTTGTTCAGCAGACTTTCCCTGAAGTCCTGCTCATCCAGTTGTCTGAACTGGATGCAGGAATGTATGTATTTGATGGAGTCCTAAGCTTCACTAGCTTGTGTTGTGACCCTGTGTTCCTGTCTAATGATATAAATAATGTCACTAACTTGAACAAATGGGATGTATATGGCTCTTACATTAAACACATCCTTTCTGGTGTTCCGATATATTTTGTTAGTTCCCTGGCTGCACTTGCAAAATATTCAGCAGCTCATTGGTATATTGTTTTGGAAGGCCATTGGCAAGCACTGTCTGATTTGTGGCTTCTTTTCTTGTTTTCCAGGGTTACGATAATACGGAGAGCAGTGTCCGTAAAGCTAGTGTATTTTGCCTGGTGGCAATTTATTCGGTAATTGGAGAAGAACTGAAACCTCATCTCGCACAACTCACGGGAAGCAAGGTATAAGAGTAACACSTCTAGTATTTTGACAGCAGCCAGCTGAACAGCTAGCAGCAAGAGCAGGGGCTTCGCTGTGGCTCTGGGTCAAGTTCCCTGCACTCAGTTAAATCTTAATGAGTTAGCCTAGCTCACACTGCTGAACGCCCCTGGAGCAGCTCAGCACTTGCTCTGTAGCGCGAGCATTTGAAACCCCATGGAGTGGAGTGGGTGCTGAGGGCGTTCAGGGATCAGTTTCATGACTTATTTAATCCTGTGTAATGCAAGCTGCCACCAGCAAGGCAGTCCCTCGCTGTTCCCATTCCAGCCGGGTCTACCTTGCTGCTTCTGTGCATCCAGAGGGGACGACGCAGTGAACGATTGAAACTGTATATTAATATAGACATCATTTTCGGGTTTCTTTTCTGATGCAAAGCTACAAAGTTCATCTGATGCCTGGAGAGCAGGAATGAATGGCTGGCCCTTCCCTTCCAGTAACAGGCCATGATTAGGGCTCATAGAAATGCAGGGAAAACCACTCTAGCTCAAATGGCCCTCCGAGGGCTGTTGTGTCCATCAGTCAGGACAGCAGGAAAACTCAATTTCTGAGCTGATGCTGCAAGTGAAATCAAGTCCTTAAATCACGTCTATCCTTCAGACAGGAACTGGGATGTTGCTTTGAAGCTGGTGGTGTTTCATTGCTCGTTAAAACTGTTCAAAACTGTCACTAGATACTTTTTTTCTCCTGTTTGGAGTATTAAGGCTGAGGCTTTTTCTGCAAATCTAAGATGATTTCTGCATTGCTGTCTCTGAAATAGATCTCTGCATGGTGGTGGTAGTTACTTAATTCAGAGCTATTTTCTTATTTCAAAATGAGTTAATTTATTTTGCAGGTAGGAAGTGTGGTTTGGGTTAAAAGAGAATCTGAGACCCAGCACACTTGGATTTTTATTTCTAAATAGAGTTGTCTTGTCTCTAAACAAAATACTTCAATTTCCTTCTGGGGAGAAAAAAAGAAAAAAGCTATTGACGCTGAGGTTTACTTTGTTTATAATTGAGCAGTTGGGAATCCCCATGCTAAAGTGTTATAGTAACTGTATTATCCCAGCATCTGTGTGCCACRGACTTGCTGTGCTGCCCAACTAGCTTTAAACATGTGAGCAAGTCCTCTCAGTTTATGCAGACCGCCTGCATGTTTAAAGTTAAATCTGTGCATGAGTCACAGCAGGATCCGGAGTGAAGGTGGTAAGGCAGAAAAAAAGCTTATGGAAAGGAAGTATATTGTCATAACAGCTTCACTAGATTTACCAAGTTAGTGAAGACTTTTTAAGATGTTTGTTTTCTGTGATATATTTAAAGGAACAAAACCTGTCCCACTGGGCTCTCCAAGCACAAAGAATTAAGAGTGCTTCCTAGAAAGGTCCTTGGTTCTMAGATTGTCGATGTATGACCAGGATTAATGTCTATGTGCAGCCCCACTGACCTCTGTGGGAATCCTGCTCATCCAAAGCAGGCTGCAGGATCACTGCTTGTGCCSTAACTGACAGCTGCTGAAATGAGGCACTTGAAATTTTTCAAATCCCATGAAATCTGACTGTAGTTTCAGTGGGACCTGGATTCTGTTCCTGTAGATTTTGAAATACTGTGCTTTGCTTCCATTTTTCATTCATAATGCCCAATGTGGTGTCAGTTCATTCAGAATGATTCTCTATGGAAAACACATTTAAGATATCCAGTCAACTCGTGATCTTCTGCTGACATCATCTGATGTTCTTTTGTCATCTCTTTCAGATGAAGCTACTAAACTTGTACATAAAGAGGGCCCAGACTACCAATAGCAACAGCAGTTCCTCTTCAGATGTTTCAACGCACAGTTAATGAAGATATCCGGACATGTGTAGACTTAGAAGCAATCAACGGTGCCTCTCAGAGACCTTTCTGCTACTCTAACTTCACTGGCGTGCTCCATCAGCTTAAGGAGGCCATGCAGATATTTATTGCAATCAGTATTTTAGTCCCTTAAAGCTTTTATGTAGAATCTTATCGGTATTGAATGTAAAGGAAGCAAGGTCTGTGTTGCAGTCTTCATTAAAAAAAGAAAAAAGTGAACAACAGAAAGCCATACTTAAACATATTTGTATAGCCTGCTGAAATCTCTGAAATATGTTTAGGTTAGTTTTCCAAAACTGAGTCCAACAAGGTGGACATGCGTAAAGGCCAAGCGAACCTTAGGTTAGTTCACACCCGGGTCTGGTTTCTGTGCTCTCTCCCCGTGGTTGCGGCCGCTCCGGCTGGATTCTTCTCTCCTTGCCAGTGTTGTGGTCCCCTTTTGTATGTCCTCCTTGGGGCCCGCCTAGCGTGCGGGATGCTCCATGAGGAGTTCTTTGCAGCTAGGGCTGTGGTTCCAGCCTCTGATGCTTTAATACTGAGAGATAGCAAATGAGTAATGGAAAAAAGTAGGTTCTTTTTAAACATCCGAGTTTTGTACATAGTTCTGACAGACCTCTGATGGGCTGATTTTTCTGTAACTTCTCTCCAGCCAGCTGTGCATTGTGAAACAGCTCTTGCTACTTTCATTGACTCTGTAAATACTTTCCTGCTCCCTGCCTCTTTGGCTCTTTCATACACTCAAAAGGCACGTCAGGTACCTTGTAGCTTCTCGAAGAGAGCCTGAGAGGCGGTTCCGGGACTGCTTACGGTCTCTGAGGCCTGCGATGGCACTGCAGTTTTGGGGCTGCCTTGGGCTCTGAGTGCACCCATGGGCTGGCAGTCAGAGGCAGCAGGATCGCAGGGCTGCCTTGCAAGATGAGCTGTTTTTTAGTGGTCTGTACATCAAGAGGGGCTGATCTGCTGCTCTGACCAGACTCCCTGGTGTTGGGTGGTGAAGGGTCTTGTTCATGAGCACTTCTCCTGTGCCCTGGGCAAGCTCTCCACTGCAGATGACGGAAAGGGAATCTTAAACTGGACAAAGCCCGTGGAGGTGCCCGCTGYGGGGCTGGCTGGGCCAGTGCTGGCTCCCCTCCTGTGCCTGCCGAGCCCGCAGGGCTGTCCCCTGCCTTCGGACACCCTCCCAGCCAGCCCCGTGCACGGCCCTGCGGCTGCTCAGGGCTCCAGGGCCAGTGCAGCTCCCTTGTGGGGCRCTCTGCGTCCTGCTGCTGGGTCGCTCCTTGAGGAGCCACACGAAGCTGCAATCAAAGCAGCAGCACTCGAATGTCTCAGCACCATCCTCCACCACTGGGAGACCTTCCTGTCTGCGACAGAAACCCAGAGGGAGCAGGAGGCTGCTCGTGGGGCAGCAGGTTCCAGGCCACGTCCTGGSTGATGGACAGGGCTGTTCCTGGTGCCTCAGTTGCCCTCCAGCCCCGTCCCTTTCGGGAGCCGAAGGGACCCAAGCATGGGTGCTGCAGCCACATGGCTGGGTCCCTCTTGTCCTCCCTTCCCATCGCCCTGCGCCTGGCTGGCTGCGCTCCRCCCATCCCAGCCTCCAAGGAGCAGCGCTGGGAGGTGCCACGAGGCAGCTGGGCCTCAGCTGCAGCCTGGAGCTTATCAGCCCTTGCCCTGCCACTGAGAGCAGCAGAGGCCGCGTCCCTCAGGATGTGCCCAGGCTGGTGCCTGCTGTGGGACTAGTTGCTTCACCTTTCCTGATCAATAGTGCTATGGCAGGAGAAAGCCCCATGACCCTGGTGCATCTTTCCGCGGGCTCCGAGGCTGTTGTGGTTATATTGGCTGTTCCCTGGTCAGTGTTGCCTTTTCTGTGGACCATTCCTTTGCATCATCTTTCAGTATGCCTGTTAGAATATTCTTTTTTTTTTAATAAAATTATTTTAGTTTAACATGAATTTATTTTCCCTTTTGAGGAAATATTCAGCTGACACGTTGGCAGCAGTTAGCTGTCTTGTTT